TTTGGCAGCTTTAAGTGCCTTTCCGGCCACTTTTTTCAAAATCAAATTTCACGGCTTGAAAATTGTTTTTGTTCATTTTTTCTCTGTGATTTCATTATGTGTTATATTTTGTGTGCTGTTTGTTACTTTGTTTTGTGTTTTTTGTATTTTTGTACTCTTGTTGCTGCTGCTTGCTTGCATGCTCAAAGTCAGTGAAGAAAACGCCAAGACAATGGAGGCGAATGAAACGCCTGAAAAAGTTGCCACTTAAGCGAATTTCATTTCATTCTGCTTATCTGTGCATGTTGTATGTGGCTGTGTCTGCGTGTGTGTTGATGTGTGTATCTACAATTTATGCCTTATATGTACATATACACTAGGGTATATCTAAAAGACATATGTATGTAAATATAGTATGTTTGTGTGTGTGTGTTTTAATCCAACGCGGCAGTTGAAACTTTTCCTCATTGCGGCGACTGCGTTGGAAGCTATAGTGGCTGAGAAGGAAGCGGAGGTGGCGCTGCGGTTTTTTGCGCACTACGCCGCGACCGCAGATATGAGGCAGCGGCACAATCGCAACGCCTGGCAGGGCTTTGTTTGCTTGGCCGCCTTTTGTTTGCTAATTCTCTTGACTTAGGCATATGAACTTTTAGCTAATTGTTACTTGACACGAGTTTGTCAGTCATGGGGGCACAAGTTAAAAAGTTACTATTATTGTTGTTCCTCTCGTTGTTGTTGTTCCTTTGCTGATATGCGGGAAAACACAATGATAACAACTATCAAATGATTCATAGATATCAATCAATAACATTTCCTGCATACACGAAAAACGAATTCCATGAATGAAAAAACTAATAAACAAACAAACAGCAACATTTTTTTGGCAGTCATGCCGAAATCAACAAATACATGCAAGAAATTAATGATTGTGTGAGACAAGAGGAGTGGGAGGGAGTGGGCAACGGCGGCACAATTGTGGGGCATGGTGGGACTTGGTGAATGGCGTGCTCTGCTCCTAGCGTCACATTTTAATGAAAATCCAAACACGTTTGACGCATCCGCGCGACTGGCACACGACGCCAGTAATGCCGGACAATGCACACCCAGCTGCTTCAACGGGAAGCTTTTATAGGAGAGACGCTTATGAATAATACAACAAGCAGCACATGCCGCCATAATACCGTAAAATGAATTAAAATAAAATGTGTAAAAAATGGCACTGCATTTGCTGTTGTTTTTATTTCTGCCTCGACAATAAAGTCATTAGGAAAAAGAATTGTGGCAGGCATTAGAAAATGGTTAAATGGAAGTGGATGCGTCCGGTAACGAGGCAAGGCAGCGACCTAGAAATAACTTGTCCATACCGATATCAGCATCGTTATGACAGCAAGAAGTCTCTAACTGAATCATTTTTGGATATATTTCAGGTTCTTTAAACGGAACCAAATTCCCTAAAGGTGGATCACTGTACTTTATATTTACTTTTCCTTTCATTAAAATTGAAATAAAAAACTCGCTTGTAGAGGTAAGAAATTTAGGGACGAAAGTAAGACTTTCTTCTAATTTATAACTCTTTAATTACGTAATGATGAAACAAGAAAAAAATGCATTAGCCACATGATGAGATTTCTATGAACTAAAAGCGAAAAAAGATTTTTCTAATAATAGTATTGTTTATTTTATTCCTGTTTATAAGTGTAACTTCTTCCCAAAACTAGTTTTTTTTTAATACTTAAAACACGAAACTCAAGAGTTTCAATATTTTCTACGCTAACTTATGCTAAAATTTGATATATGTATATATTTGAATACATATCGTCGCAAAATAATGAAATTGATATAAAAATTCGCTCTTCTTAGGTTCAAGCTGGGTTTTCAGGGTTTAAAGCCCTGATTTCTATTAACTATGCAACTCAATATCGATGCCAACGCCTTTGACCACCCAGCATAAGCTGTTGCAAGATTTAACAAAGGAGAGTGAGGCCCGCATGTCCAGATGTTGCACCGCTGATTCATAATGCCACACACTGGGCAGTCAACGAAAATGCAGTCGAGAGCCGTTTTTCATTGGAATCTGCGTATCAGTGTGGGAGGAAGTGACAAGAGTAAAAACATAAACGGCATGCGGAAATGTTAATTAAATTTGTTTGCAGCATGTGGGCGTGACAGTATTTTTTTTCTTGTTCGCTAGGTCAGAGTTCAATGCATTCGCGCCAAGGCCCTAAAAAATGCAACGACACGCCGTATGACATAAAGCTGTCTGGTGTGGCAGGCCATCAACTCGCTCATTTGTTCACTCAACTCACAAGCCAGTTTATGATTCAGTTAAACATAAAATCAAAGCATAACCGCAAAATGAGACACAACGAATGCGCGTCAAAGATCGTGGCAATTTCTGGTAACAACATTTGAGTCATCGTGTAAGGGGCCGAAAAGGCACAACAAACAAAGAGTAAACAAAAGGGGAGCAACACTGTTAGCTGGCATAGTACGTTTCGTTCCCTCACTATGTTTTTGGTGCTGATAAACCAAAATGGAACAAATAAAAAAAATAAAGTTCAGTATGTTAAACAAAGAAAATACCAACTGCTGGTCATAAAAAATGACGTGCGTTTGTGCGTTTTATCTTATCTTGAGTGGTGCGCGTTCCCGTTCTTTTTTTTCCTATTGCAGCTGCAAACTGGGCTAACGGAGCTCCAATAAACACAATCCTACCTTAGTATATAGAAGTGTATATATATATATATATAAACATAAGTATAGTCGAACTACCCTAAGACGAATGTTAATGTGCCACAAGCAAGTGATATAGGAATCAATATTGATGTCTATTTTGATTATTACTTAAAATCATGTTTTAAAATGTTCGAATATAACGATTTTTTAGTTATATTTATTTCTTTTGATTAGTCATATTATTAATATAAGGCAAATCACTAAGTTTAACCAACAGCCTATATAAAAATGTTCGGCTCAATGCATAGCAGACAAAACAATTCGATGGAAGTATACAACATTTTTGATTTAAGAAAGTTCGGGTTATTGAGGTTCGACTATGTTTTTGTTATGTGGAAATGTGCCGTCATAGATAACTAGCAATTTTGTAATAGAACAATTGTGAAACTGCTGCAGATGTTTGGTTTTGCCCAAAGGAAAAGAGGCAAAGCGCAATGACAAATTTTAGTAGGTAGGCAACACTGGCGCGGCAACAACACAATGCATAGCGAAGCGGCAAAGAAAAGCAGAGCGCACATGCAAATTTTGACTAAGGTTGCTTGCAGTTATGTTGTTGTTGGTACTGCTGCTGCTGCCTTATTGTTGTGCTTGTTGCCTAGGGCCCGGCCGCGCCATTGTCCAATAACTTTGATTTCTGTGTTGGTCGTTGGGCTGTTGATTTTTTTTCATACTATTTGTTTGTGAACTGGTTTTTGGGTTTTGTTTTAGCCCTGTCTGTTAATGTCTGTCTGTCTGCCTGTGTGTGTGTGTGTGTGTGCTCGTGGGTCTTTGGCCCGCTTCATTTGGCTTTGGCAACAACGCAACGAAACTACCATAAAACTGAGTCATATGCTGGCAACTCCAAATGGCGCTGGATGCCATTTTCGTGCAGAATTGGCCCGGCCCGGGCCATGACGGCGGTGCATTGACATTTAAATATGCGATGCAAAAGGAAACCAAAGCTGGCATAAATTAAAGTTCAAACAAACACGACGAGGAAGAAGCAGCACAGCATTAAAATATGCCCCACCCGCGCATGCTGGATGTATTCTCTCTCTCGCAAAATTCAAACTCCAATCTATCTCTCGCACTCTCTCCCGCTCTCTCCCTCTCTTGGACAAATTGGCAACACGGTCATTTTTAAGGTTTTGTTTATTTGGTGCTTCTGCATCAGCTCCAGCAGCAACAACAAAAACAACATAGCGTCAAATTAGATATTGGAAGTTATTTTAAAGATTGCGTGAGTGCGGGCGGCAGTGTTAGTGCACAAATCTTCAAGTTGCACAAGATGCAGCAACTAGCGGACAACTACAAGAGAGGATGTAACAGTTGAGCAAGTCAGACTATGTAAAACCCTATATTAGAGTTATTTTCATTTCGCTAAAAACTTAATAACGATAGAGAATAAGACAAGGAATGCTTTCTAAAATTAAGTTATGTAAGCGTTATAGACAGTATTAAGGAAATTGGACAGCGTGGAAAGGGGGGAAAAGCAAAAACATATGTACATATTTATATGTATTTGTACAATAAAATAGGGATTAGGAGTTATGCATTCATCCAAACAAAAGTATGGACTAAGCTACTTCGATTTGTCTCATCATGCTGATTAAGTATTAAGAATTGTTTATTGGGTAGGGGCTGCTTTCTTTAGCCTGTTACATACATTTGCAAAAACCGAACATACTCATTTCAGCCTTAAGGTACAGGGTATAACAACGAAAGGCGGTCATGCATTGGAGTTGCCGTGCTTGCCGCGGGCAGCATAAAAACAATTAAAGCAGGCACAGCTGGCGCAACACCGAACATACACACACATATACATACAAATGTATATGTATACAAATACATATGCATAAGTGCATGCAAAAACAGGTTTGGATGCCAAACAGCAACGCCAGCTGTTTCAAGTGTCCAGGCTAGGGTACTTATAACGCAGAAGAGAGAAATAAGAGAATATTTTGAGGACGCTGCAAAATTTTCACTTTAAATAAAATCATAAAATATGCAACTTCCAGAAGTTGCAGCCTCTACGCTGCACACACACACACACACACATATATGAACATAGACGACTAAACCACAAACACACGCAGTCACACCAATGCGCAAAAAAGGGCGTGTTGTATGAAGAAGAAGCAGAAAAAAGGGAGCAAGCACAGAAGCAGCAGCAGTAAAGGGAGCAGAAAGCGGAAGTCGTAGGCAAAAACATGCGCAGAAATTGCAGGGCCACCGCCGCCGCATAGAAGATTTCAAGATTCTCAATGCCTTGTGAAGATTTTATAAATAAATTTAGCAAAACTTACCACATCATTTTGGTTAAAAATTCCACTGTGAACAATTGCTGGTTTTCGATGTTCTCTTCCCCGCCGCCACTACTGCTGCTAGTACTCCCTTTCTGTGATTGTGGCAGTGACGCACACACACACACATGCAGACAGACACAAAAACACGGCCGCGTCGCGCGGGTGACAAGCGGCAATAAAAAAGTAGTGCGTGCGATTCGGCGTTTAATTTTCTAGGTTTTTATTTTGCAGTCTACTGACAACTTTCAGCTTTTACTTCTTGTTTGTCGTTTTAATTAAAAAGCATAAAAAACAGAACACGCTTTTTAATTTCATTTGAATTTACTTAAAAACAAAGGCGGGCCACGGCTACACAAACAGAGACGCACAGAAACAAACACACACACACATATATACACAGAGCAGCGCACAACTCCTTTTCAAGGAGTAGAGACACAAATTTTTTCTTTTCTGCCGCCGCTTCGTACAACTCCTTTTTCTTGCTGCAATTTTAGGAACTCTCGGGGCACTATTACTTGTCCCAAAACGTTGGCTGCGTTGGTGTATATTGAGGCGATTGCGTTTTTATGTTTTGCTGCACGACTCGTTTCAATTTTAATTAATAATTTGCATTTTTTCGGCTCAGAACGATTCGATACAAGTTGCACTTTGCTGGGGAGCGCGACAATAACACGCGAGCGCCATACTTGATCTGAGCGAAAGAGCGACTAGACACGATAATGCACTAAATAATGCTAGCGCGTTGTAGAGTTATCTAAACACAACATGGGTGGGTACACACTGTTTTCTTGAATGTTTTATCGATAAATTTGATGCGAAATAAACAAAGTTTGAATGCTGATACGCATTCGAATTTAAGCGAGTCCACTAAAATATTTATTTAAAAAAGCTCCGCTTTCATTTATTTCACTAACTTAGTCATTAAAAATACACATTTGGACTCCTTATTCATATGACTCTTTTAATTTTCTTGCACTGTGTGAAAATTTTTTGCATCGATGCGGCGATTAGATAGTAAATTAAAATACATAAATAATAAAATACAATGGTCTGTATCAAACTATTGGAAATTGTCATGAATTACTAATACTACTCCCCGCTCAGTAGACTGCATCGCGATAGTTCTCCACAAAGTGCAGAACCAACGAGGGAAGTTCGGGAGCGCGACACAAATGTTTGTGTCCGTAGCCAAAACTCGCATCGAAACGATGAAACTCGACCGGTCCCCAGGATCGACTACGGGTGTCAAGTGCGACTCGATACAGCCTGTAGCCCAAGTGGAATGGCACAACTACATCGTCCTCGGCGTGTATGATCATAATGGGCTGCCGAAATTCGCCCACATGGACGTCCGATTCGAATCGCAATGAGTTGCTATACATGGGACGTGAGATTGTGAAATCGAACCAGGGAAGATGTTTGAACAGTCGCGAAAACGGATGTAACCTGATCTCATCGCGAATATTGGTGAAGGGGCTCTCCAGGATCACTCCCCGGGGTCCACGTTCATTTAAATGCGCCAGCTGGGCACATAAGTGGGTGGCCACACCCGTGCCGAGTGAATGTCCCCATATGATGATAGGATTAGAGGTAACATTGGCAATATATTCATATACCATTAGCGCATCACGCACTACACCCTCCTCCGTAGGTGAGACGGGATCAGAGTCGGCATAGCCGCGGTAATCGAACGAGAAAACATGATAATTAAGCTTCCGCAGCAACTTATAGACCTCACTCCGATGTCCACTCCCACGTGTCGCTGTATTTCCATGTAAATAAAGCACCACAGTACCACCAGGAGCGCGCAGCAGGCGTTCATAGAAGATCTGCTCATTCTCAGGCACAATCACTGGAAATTCGGCACGCAAAAAAGGCTCCAATTCTTGCAATTCATGCTCATTGATGCTGATCGTTGATGTGGAAGGTTCTACGCTAGGCGCCTCCGCCACTCCATGCTCCGCAACAAAGGCTTCCTCCACTTGCAGTTCACGCTTAAAGCGACGCACAGCGTTTGCCGGCAAAACATGCCAGACGCCAATGCGCACCCCATCTTCATCCACATCCCGGTCCTTAACGGTTATGTAAAAGTTTCTTGTGGCATAAAGTCCAATGCTGGCCGGATTGGTGAGATCAAGATCCTTCGGATAGGTAACTACAAAGTAAGCGTATGTAAGTAATAGTCATTAATTATGATTTTCAGCTACTTACTGAATGTAAGAAAAAGAATTCCCCGCTGCAACGTCACTGAATAGCGAAAGACGAGGGGCAACAGGACGAACAGCAGCAAGAAAAACAGCATGCATATCTGGAGCGTGGCTAAGCCAACTCTGTAAGTTCGAGAGTAGCGTATTAATAAACGTTTCCTGCTAATTGGCATTTTGCCGTTTTAATTAATTTTTTTTTTCAAACAACTACGACAAAGCAGTGTAAGGAAATGAAAATACAAATTATGATTCAAAATTCAAATAGGTTTTTTTTTAATTCAATAAACTGCATCGGCATTTGGGGGTCTTTCATTGTTTGTGGTTAGTCATGGAAAAGAACTTTGTTTACATTTATCTTGGTAGGGTTTTTGGTTCGTCGCCCACAAGGTTGGACATTTCTGGAACTCTGAGCATGCATTGAATATTTATGCCACGATGACAGCAATGCGAATTCATTATGCAAATAAAAATAGAAGATTATCTTTTAAAAATAACAAAAAGCACAAAAAAGTAATATTAAATGAAACTTAAAATTAAATAATAGACATGAAAAGATAAATTAAATGCCAGTACAATTTTACAACATCAAATTTAGATTGCGATCGAGCATAAATACTTACAGCCCAGTTAGCCAACTAATGTATATCGTTCCGGGAATGATTGTAGCATAGAAAATTTTATTTAAACAACTATGAAGCTCGTACATTGTGCTTTTTATTGTGCGGGGCGTTACAAACACTCCTTCCTTGCCTCGAAGGATAATAATCACTAGATGAGTATTACAGTTTCTGTTCTGTTTATTATGTTAAACTCTCGGATATTTCAAAAAGGACTGTTTTACATGGAGGTAGGTTTAGTTTATATGTTTAATTCTTGCTGTCTAAACTTTAGTTAGCATAAGAGAAGAGCAAAAGAATTCATATATTAGTTGGAGATTTTCAAAACGCCATTAGCATGCAATTTAACTGTGTATCCTAATCTTATTTCCTCGCATTTAGAAAAGATTGATTCTCGTGAAAACGTATACGAAGTATTTTGTGCCGATTTCATTAATGATAAGCGCGTTCATTATGTTAAGATTTCGTATCTATGTATGTATATGTGAGTGAATGAGTAAGCGCTGAAAAAATACTGAACAAAAACTACAATGTGAAATGATTATGATAATGAAAGACACATTGAACGCGCACTGATATCGCAATTACAATTATGTCAGCGTCCGAAAGATGACATTGATTACCAAATGCCAGCTAATAATTACAAAAGCAAAGAAAATACACTACTAGAACACAATTTGAACTAAACACATTTGCAATTATTGGATTCACCTCTTGAAAAAATGCCGCCTACGTGTAAAGAGCATAACTGCAAATAGTACAAAGAGAAAAGAGAAGAATATTTATCATAAATTATTCAAAAAAGTTGACAATCTATTGTGAATAAAAACGAAAAACCGTTCAAAAAGGCAAAAGGAGGCGCACCGTCGATCACTCATTTATATCTATCGATTAAAGTTCAACGATAAATGCTCAGCGAGCACTACAGCAATAAATTAGTTTAGACCGCGAGAATGGTAAAGAGCGCGCCAACAAAACAAACAAATTATTTGCGGCAATTAAGAGATCGAAAGTTTATTTTTTTAGATAGCATTCGCAGTTAATGACGCGGCATATTTTAATAGTGTAGTTTGCTAAAGAATTCGAAAACAGAAAAAAAATACAATAATACACACACAACAAACTGCGTTTAAAATTTCGCGCAACGTAAACAAGTGATCTGCGTGCTGAGTTTTTTGTGACTGAGAAAACGAGTGCCAAAGCTATTGCCTCAAAAGTGGGTGGTGGGCATGGTAAAAAGAGAGAAGCTATCGCATTAATGGCTGCCATATTTTTACTCTCACTGCAGAGGTACGTCACAATATGTTTCGTTGGAAACGAAATAGTTTTCACAATTGCAAAGAAATGGACAAACCATTGATTAAAACTGCGCGAAAAAAGTTTGACACATAAAAAAGTGTCTTTTTGAATTGAATACGCGCCAAATTAAATGTTATAGGCATTCTGTGACGCCACACGAAGAGAATACCAAATAATATACATATCTCAAGTTTATTTGTTTCATGGGTGGCGGACGCTCAATATGGAACAAGGAAGGGAGAGAGAGAGAGAGAGAGAGAGAGCGATCGCTGCACTCAGCTGCTTGCGTGCGCTTCCTGCCTGTGAATAAACATTTATTTACATATGTATTTAATGCTTTGATTGCTCTTGAATTACATTTAATGAATGCACTTGCCATTGAATGCCTCAATTAGGCGCCAAATGAACACATAAACGCGACACTTAAACGCTTTGATTTGACTAAATTAGGCTTACCTCCTCCGGGTATGATGAAAAGCTAGACGTGAAAATGCGTAAAGGATCGAGCCTTAAGCAGCGCGCAGTTTAGTGATTGCAATTCCGCCTTAATGCATTTTGTCATGCGCTGCAAAAAAAAAAAAAGAAAGAAAGCATTAAAATCTAATTGTAAACTCCATTAAATGCAAGGTCTTAATCAATCGATATTGTTAGCATGTATTATGCCATTTTCATTAAATTACATTTAATTGAGTGAGGGAGTTAAGTTTGATTATTTATAAAGGCGTATGGCAATTTTTTCAAGACAATGTTTTCGCGCAAAACACTTGGGTCTGTGCCACCCACAGTTACGTTGAATTGCTCAAAGCGCACATGTGCAGAACGTCTAATCAGGCTGCCAAGAAATAAACTGTGGGTCCATGTATGTATGTATGTGTATATACTATATTAGCCGGTTGCCGGTATTCTCGACGTCATTCTTGTTATAATGGCACGCAATTAGAGTACATGAATATTTTTAAATACATATGTATGTGTGTTCTCATTTATTGGCAAGTGCACAAAAATTATGCCACCAACTGGGGTTCGCCAATGCTAAAGGGTTGTCAAGGATATACATTTGTATGTACATACATTTGTATATATGTACATACATAGTACATATGTACTTAACTATGAAGGTTCCCACTCAAACGCATAAGAACGCGTGCACATGCACTTTTCAAGGCCCTCTCTGAGTTATAATATTCCATTTCCTAAATTGCAGGTTATTTTACAAAAATAGTACGATACCTTTTTATTTTATGTAATTTATTTCAAAAATATGCAAATTAGACGGCTCTGTTATGAACAATTACGATTACACTTGTTTTATCAGCCATAATAACAATAGAATTGACAGCAGCAGACTTACCGCGCACTTTGTGGCTTATCGCTTAGCTTGGGGGATTGTTAATCACTAATTCAAATCAGTATGATTCTATGAAATTGTATTTATTTAATTTATTATTGGATTAATTGTCTCATTTTTCACACAGCGCCGTACTGGCCAAATAAAAGCAACAAAACACAACCAATGTGTACCCCCTAATTTTATTCTCGAATCAGCTGGCATTCATTTGTTGCGATATTCGGGCATATCGATGGTGTTATCGAATATAATAATTTTGTCCGTTCAAAGTATAGGGACTCCCACAACACTATGGGTCAAAAGCGCTATTTTTTGTTATAAAATACGAATTGTATTGTTTTGTTTTCAATTTAAACTGAATTTAAAATATAATTACAGCGAATTTAATGGGAAACTCTTAATTTGGATGGATTTTCTTAAGGAAATTTCAATCAAAATTAGTATCCTATACTTTTTTTCCATAATTGTTAGCGAAATGATATTCAATCTTATGCAGTGAGTTACTCATCTGTTACGATACTAATCAACAATCACCTGCAGTTTAAACCCATTTTCCCGTTATTGAATTTTTTGTTTTTAATAGTAGGTTGTAGAATTAACTCATAAAAACTATTTTCGAGGAAATAGTATCCGTGGAAAATGTCGGAACATGATAATTGAATTATTTTTTTTTTATAAAAACTAAGTTGTGCGATGTAATAAACGCTTCTATAAGTAATACTTAGCAGAATCTAAAAAAAAAAAACAAAAACAATATCAAAATAAATAAAATACAATACAGTACAATATTTTAATACTTACAGTGGTGAAAATGGCCAAACATTTTTCATCAGAAAATGTATTATACATTTACACATATGTATGTACATATGTATATGCGAAATGTAAATGCTTGCTATTCGCAGCAAAGAAAAGCTTAGCTTATATTGACTGGCTTCAAATGAAAACAACTATTTTTTTACATTTCTAAAAGATTTCCCTTTATTTTAAAGAGCGAAAATCTAGTCATCAGCGATATGTTCATCTTCATCATCGTCGAATTTAAAATAATCAACGTCAACAGCGCCATCATCATCTTTATCAATGTCAGTACGCCTTCGCTCCTTTTTCTTAATATTGGCTAGATCTTGTTCGACAGTTTCAGGCTCCACCAATGGTTCCTCCTCGGCGGCTGCCTCCTCAAAAGGATTGCGTTCGGCTGCGCCCAATTCATAAACTGTGGCAGCGACTTCTGTGACAGTGGGCTTTTTCTTTTCATTTCGTACAAGCAGTGGCGGCTTGACCACGACACGGGTCTGATTTGTATGGTGTTCCATTAGGCCCTTGTAGAGATGGGGGAATCGTCGCTGGAACTCTACTTTGATGCGCAGCAGGCGCTCCAACATACCAGGAGTGAGGAGGTTGGTTCGAGGCATAATGTGCGTATCACGACGCGAGCGTCCATCCCGCAAGTAAGCCTCGTAACTACCGCCTCCAGTGTAGATGGGTCGATGCAGGTCGTACGGTTTGCGAGTCCAGGGATCATCGTCGCGTGCTACCGGCAGCAAGCCCATGTAAGGTTCAAGCAGGTCGTCGCTTAGACTAAAAAGTGAGCCGAGCGTTGCATTTTCGTCGGTGGAGCTGGGATTAATGATAATGGCGGCGTTTGATGTAGTTGCTGGATGTGTAGATGGTTGTGGTAGTGGGGATGCTGATGATGGACTGATATATGAAATAAAAATAATGTAGATCATGATGGAGAGAATGGCATTAATAAAATGATAAATTGTAAATGGTAGTTGCAAAATGCAAAATTGTTATGTGAATGTTATGCTATCGATTGTAGATTAGAACAAATCGTGAGAGGTCTATAAAATCCTTAATGAATAATGCTGATCAGTGCGTTCAATGAAGACGTATAAACTAAAATTAGTGAACAATGGTCTTGTTTATGATCTATTAATGCTGATCAATGATATTGAATACTGATCCACTTTGCTGATCAAGAACTAATCGATTGTGGCGGGTGTTGTACTGATCTTAGATTGTTTTCGTTGCCTGCGACGCAGTCGTTTGGTTTTCACTCTTTTGCCACTCTTCGTCACAGCATTGGAGAGTGTGCGCGATGCTGATCCCGATCCTGATGCTGATCTTAATCCCGATTCTGCTCCTCGCTGTTTGTGGTGCTGCAAACGTATGAGATCGTGTAAGAGTTCGATCAATTTGTCAAGCTTTGTGCTGCGCTCCCGCAGCAGTGACAATTCATTGCAGCTCGAGCTCTTCGTTTTATGGGTTACCTTTGCAGATGATGTTGATGGTTGTTTCGCTGCAGTGCGGACTTTTTTGACACGATACCCTTGGGCCTGACGTGTGGCACGGAAACTGCTGCTTACGGTGCTGCGCCGCACGAATTTACCACGTAATGCGTACGGTGTGGGCGTGGTCGATGACATATAATCCCCCGCCTCATTATGCAGCTCAGCATTGAGGAGGTGGGCTTGTTCCGATGCCTTCCGCTGAGTACTACTTGGCTCTGTAGCATCCTTATTTTGAATAAGGATCGAATTCCCCTCTAAACGCTTGGCAGCACGTTTTTGTGCTTGACGCTTCTCCAGCTGCTCATGCTCTTCGTTGGGCTGAAACTCCTGATAGCTATAGTCCATGGACGTGTTCTGCTCAAAATTACTTTTGGGCAAGTGCAAATTCTCGCCATGCTCATATTGCTGCTCGTTAGACTTGGACAAGTACTTGGTATCATAACCTTTGCTGGCCAGCACACTCTGCCAGTGTTGAGCATCCTCTTTGTCCGTAGCTGTAGAAACAATAGCATTAGCATGTGCCCTGACCTGAACTGGATTTGCTGTAGTGGCGGCTAAGTCATCAGCGGCGGGAGTAGTGCTTGGTGCACTGGTGGTGGTCGGAATAGATTCTGGTGCGCGTTTGCACTTGTCGCTCAACGCCGTAAGTTGTTCCTTTAGCTCATATATGATCGCGTGCAGTTTCTTAAACTCAGTAGCTGCTGTTTCTGATTGAATAGATTTGATTGGCGTTGCAGAAGTAGTTGGAGCAGCTGTAATCGGAGTGTAGGCTGTCGTACTGCTTCGTTCAGTTGTGGTTGAGGGTGGTAACTGAGGCGGCACTGCCGGCTGTTGGGGCGCATAGTTTATTGCCTCATTGTTGCCCACCACCTGCTCACCAGCTTCAATCTGATCACCACTAATCTCCAATGGTTCCTGACTAGCCCTCTCTAATGCCTCACGTATTGAAGCGGCATTGTAACGCATAAGCGCCTCAGCCGGATCCTCATCGGGGCTAAGTGTGATCTCCTTCAGTCCCGTCTTGTATTCTCTGCGTAGCGCCTTTAACGAACGCTCATCGATCTCCTCCAAAGTGCTGTATTGTTGGGCATTACGTCGACGTCGATTGCGTTGTCCGCACTGACAGTTGCTGCCACATTGGCAGCCACCAGTTCGTGAGCAACCACAGTGGCTACTGTGGCAACCACAGCCCTTGTGGGCTGCATTCGACTGACCCTCAAATGATATCGTTGTTGGACTTAAGAAGTGTGCTAACCTTTTCTGTATTGTGTGCTCAGCAGTTGCTTCTTTTGTTGTAGTCGTCTTCTTCATCGTTACTGTGGTCGTCATCGGATTTGTGGTGCCATTTAGTGCTTCTGTTTCTGTTGGTTTTATTGTCTGAAATGCGTCTCCTGTTAATGACATGAATCACAAGCACGAAGAGAAGAGAGCGATGAATTTTATGAAAATGAAGCACCGTGTGTATGTCTGAGTGTGGGTGTGGGTGAGTGTGCAGAGTAGTGTGGACTTACCGCTATGGTTTTGTGATCACGCAGCATATCATCTATCTCGTCGTTGCCAACAGCTGCGCGATAACCACCGCCGCCATAAGCGTTGGATCCAGAACCACCACCACCATAGCTAGTGCCGTAGGAGGGGCGTCCGCCATAGGATTGGCCACCACCATAGGACGGACCAGAGGAAGGAGCTGCGCCATAGGATGGACCAGAGGAGTAGCCACCGCCATAGGATTGTCCACCGCCATAAGATTGTCCACCACCATAAGACTGTCCACCACCATAGGATGGTCCACCACCATAGGATGCTGGTGATGGATTTTGATAATAGTTGATGATAGTAGGTCCACTTTCATGGCCCTTGGACTTCTTGCGCTTATCACCACCAAGTCCCAAAAAGTCAACTGTTGTTGGAGCAACGGGGGCGCGTGGAAAAGAAATATTTGAATCTGTGTGGAAATTCTGACGAAACACGCCGTAAAGATTACCTTTGTGGCGTGCTTGGCCTGCATTCTCCGGCATTTGGGGTTCCGCCTCGCCCACCATAGGTTCTGGGGCCTGTTGTTGTTGTTGCTGTTGCATGGCACGCATCTTTTCATCGGCCCACTGTCGCTCGGCATCCATAGCCATGTCCTGCTCAGCAGCCTTAGCCTGTTGGGCGCCAACCTGCTCCATGGATGGTTGTTGCTGTTGCTGTTGCTCGGTCCATTGTCGTTGCTGCTGGTTCATCTTTTGTTGCATTTGTTGGCGTTGCTTGTGCAGAGCTTTAACCGCCTGCCCCTCTGCCCATTGACGTTGCTGCATTAACATGGGATTCTCTTGTAAATCCTGTTGTGTCTTAGATGGTTGCTGATCTGACCATTGGCGTTGCTGCTGCTGTTCTTTTGTTGCCTGCTCCCCTATCCATTGGCGTTGTTGCGATATCATTGGATTCTGTTGAATCTGTTGTTGTTGCTGTTGCTGTTGTGCGTTTGCAGCCTGCTCCTCCGCCCACTGACGTTGCTGCATCGCCATTGGATTCTGTTGAATCTGCTGTTGTTGCTGTTGCTTTTGTGCGTTTGCAGCCTGCTCCTCCGCCCATTGCCGTTGCTGCATCGCCATTGGATTCTGTTCAATCTGCTGTTGTTGCTGTTGCTTTTGTGCGTTTGCAGCCTGCTCCTCCGCCCATTGCCGTTGCTGCATCGCCATTGGATTCTGTTGCATCTGCTGTTGTTGCTGCTGCTGTTCTTTCGTTGCCTGTTCCCCCGGCCATTGGCGTTGTTGCATTATCATTGGATTTTGTTGTATCTGTTGTTGTTGCTGCTGCTGTTGGGCCTTTGCTGCCTGCTCCTCTGCCCATTGACGTTGCTGCATTGCCATTGGATTCTGTTGGAATTTTTGTGCCTTTGCTGCCTGCTCATCCGCCCACTGGCGTTGCTGCAACATCATAGGATTTTGTTGAATCTGTTGTTGTTGCTGCTGCTGTGCGTCCGCCCACTGGCGTTGCTGCATTATCATTTCCGGACTCATTTGTCCCACAGTCTCTGGAGTGTTCATGGTCTGACCAGATCTGTAGGCTGCATAGATTTTATCCTCCTTGGTTTTTTTGTCAGCGACCATCTGTTCATTGGCCATGCGATAGGCGTAGGCCATCATTTGGACGATATCGTCCTTGGATAGATGTTGCTCCATTGGCATGGCTTGTCGTTTCTGAGCCGCATTGCCATTGGCGGCGACTTGCTGCACATATTTTGAGTATCCACCAAGTGACTTGCGCTGCACCTCCTTGTGGAGCAAACGACGCACGTAATCGTCACGCAAGGCCCGCTCAATGTCCGCTCTCGTAATCTTGTGGATAGGCGTCTTGCTGAGGGGATAGCTAAGTTTATAGGGAGGGGCAGCATTAGTCTGGGCTCCTTGGGCATTGGCACGCATTTCCTTCGCCACACGTTCGATTTCCTGCAACAGCTTCAATTCGGATATAACTTGGCGCTCAAAGGCCTGTAATTTGGCCTCGATTTTCAAGTCCTCGAGATTCTTATTCTTGGCTGTGATGTCTGCCCCATTTGTTGACTGTCTGGCGGCGTCGGTGGGCAAACGGAACCACAGCAATGGCACACGTTTCGTATCTTCCTCAGAGTTAGTTTTGGACTCTTCTGCTTGCGTATTGCCTATATGGGAATTCCTGTATGCTGCGCTGCTGCCATCGGGCCTGACACGAACCTCATCTAGAGTGGAGGCCTGGCCATCAGATCCTGGGACTGGCGTAGGTCCGGGCCAAAATTGACTGAAGGTGTTCATCAAGGCTCCTGAGGGTGCCGGCATGCCAAGCAGATTGCTGCCGCCATCAAAGCGTTGATTAAAGAAGCCACCGAATGCATCGGGTGGTGGTGGAGGTGGTGCTCCCAGAGTTGCGTCGTCGCCGGCAGATGTGGCAGTGTCAGCAGCAGCTCCGACAGATGGTGCGTCGCCAGTTGGTGGGGGCGCGCCCAGCAAATGTTCTAGCCCAGGCAGAGGGGGTAAGAGAGATTGAGCAATTTGCGCTACACTTGGGAGAGCTTGTCCCACACTGAACTGTCCGAGTGCTTGTCCCAAATTCGTTTGGCCGAGCGTCTGACCGAAAACTTGTCCGACTGGTGATTGGCCGAGCGCCTGCTCAAGACTCTGACTGACCGCCTGCGACAGAGGTGCGGCTTGTGCTACGCTTTGAGATAGTGGTGCCGCCTGAGCCTCGCTTTGAGCGACAGGAGCGTCTGATTGACTGACTAGTGGTGGTTGCGACAGAGGTGCAGCCTGGCCTAACGCCTGGGATAGACCTGCTTGACTAAGAGCCTGTGAAAGAGGTCCTCCCTGGCTTAGAGCCTGTGACAAAGGTCCTCCCTGACTCAGAGCCTGTCCCAGTGGTCCTCCTTGTTGAAGAACCTGTGCTAATGGTGCCGGTAACTGGCCGAGAGCCTGTCCATTTAACTGGCCAAGTAACTGTCCAATTTGCGGATTGAGTTGCGAGAGCGTTTGTGTCAGAGCCGATGGTGACTGGCCTAAGAGCTGCTGCAACAGATTGGCTTGAGATAATAGTGCGTCTCCAGCTGCTGCCTGTCCTGCTGTTTGTCCAACTGAATCCTGACGCGCTACGCGTGCTTTGTGCGCATTCGCATCATCAGCCAATACCAGGACAACCTTGGAAGCTGCGCCAATGCTATCAGGCGAGACAGCTCCAAGCAGATGTGGAGCAGGAAAGAGGCTTCCCCATTGCAAGAGTCTGCCCAGTGCGGGAAAGAGCAAGGAGAAGGTGTCCAAATAGGGCATACCAGAGCGCATGGGAAATATAGGCGGCATCTGGCCCAGAATCTGTGAGTAGTTAAAATTGGAAACACAAATTAATACTTGATAGTATCATTTAGGGCTGCTATTAAATGTTAAAGAAATAGTACAGTATAGTATCCTATTTCTACTTCTATATTAAATATAATTGTTATTTCAACAATGAATGTTTTTATAGTGTTTCTTGTTGGGATATCTCCAATATTTGTATTAAACAATGTTCTGTTTAGTGCACACTTAACAGTCGAATTTTTTCATAGTCTTCCTTGACTCAACACTTATCTACTTATGTATATATTTTTGAATAAATGTAAATCAGTTATCACTTATCTACTTATTTATATATTTTTGAATAAATGTAAATCAAACAGAAATAAAATAGCATTCCTAATATAACACAATTGTTATTTTGGTGAATAATGTTTTTATACATTTTTAAATTTGTAACCGAGAAATACGCACCGAATCCTGGCGTTGAGCATCCCCCACTTGTGGTGACTGTGATCCTGTGGTGCTGCTGTCGTCAGCATTGCTTGGATTTGTGTCGGGAGCGGTGCCCATTTCTACAATTGCAGGTCCACCAACTGTTGGCTCATCGTTCTTCTCACAGAGTTGGGCGCTGCTTATCGAAAGCAGCTGCAGGAGCAGCAGCAATAAGCAAACCAATCGCATGATTATCCTTCTTTATCCGGCTTTAACTTGAAAGCTTCACTTTCCACTTGCTTAGGATAACGATTCCGTTCGCGCACGCACAAATAACAGAAAACAGAATTCGATCTGGAACTCGCCGTTTACAAGCTCAACTGGCTACTGACTGCTCCAGAGCGCTCAACGACAGCCCAAATAGATTTTTTGCCATGGCCCAAAACTGTTGACGTTGGCTAAATTCACTGAAAGCTCGATTCGTGCCAATTCTGCACGCACAACTCACTCTATGGTGGTTATTGCTTCCGTATGTGTGCTCCAAAAAGACGAATTCGTCGCCAGCTGCAGCCAAAGAAGCCGCACCAGCAGCAGAAAACCTTCGCGCATTTCACGAAATCAGCGCAAAATACTGCAGAGAAAGAAAAGCGCGCGTTCAACGCCAACAATAGTACAAGTAGATGGCCAAAATTGGTGGTCGAGCTGCAGTTGTGACTTCGAGAAAATTTTCTACAGCATACTAAGTATGTAAAATGTGTCACCAAGACATCGGTGGTGCATAGCTGCTGAGCTCAGCAGCATGCAGCCTGGTTGTTGTACAAACAAGAATATGTAAATAAATTCGCTTATATGGCTCGGCTGTGGTGCACTGCACAGATCAGCATTTATTATTTTTTACTACTATTGTTTTGTTTTGATTTGATTTGTTTTAGTTCATGGCACACAGTAAGTCCAGCGACCTTTGATTTATGTGCCGTATTTTGACTTAAATTGCTGTTGCAACACGAATAATGTGATGGATGCTGATTCTATAGAAATTACGCAAATATGGAGCAATACAGTTACATACTCGGTTTTGCTGCCAAAAAAAATGTGAACATGGGTTAATGCAAATTAAATTAGTTATTTAGAGCCGTTGGAAAAACATTTTAAGGTATTTGAATATAATCACAATTTTAAAAGTTCAAAGTATGTAGGTATTTAGATTTGATTACAATTTTAAAATTTGTAATTTTTTATTTACAAAGAATATTATTCACTTTTTGCATTAATTTCATTAGATATAGAATTCTGAGAAAAATTTAAAATTCATTTTACAAATTTCCGTGCACACTGTTTATCAATGTACCTGTTACATTTATTTTATAAACATATGTATGTATATTTACTTACATATGTTCTGCATAATATTCGCAGCTATGTATGTACATATGTATATATTATTAATATATTTACTTTTTCAATTCTGTTAACGTCAGCATAAATAGGTCTTGTGCATTTCTTTAACTATTAGTCGGATCTGCTTAACTCAAGACTAATTAACACTTCCTTATATAATTATGTGGATCCACAGCCATCTATTTAATAAGTGTAAGAGCTTATAGTTTGCCAGCGAAAGCTTGGTGTTCGCTGAAGGGGCTACTACATTTTTCATTTTTTTTTTTTTTAACCGAGTAGTCGTTAGATTTCTGCAATATGAAAAAGTACAGGACAGTTGTACAAAAGCAAATTAAAAAAAAAAGAATTGAGAAATTATTTTATAGAGGAAAACTGGCTATCCTAGTTATAACAAGGGGGATTCAGCTTTCGGCAAATTTCTTTACTACAAATAATAAAATATCAAATAGTAGGACACATCTATGAACACCTTATCGACAAAATTCATACATACATATGTACTTGTACATATGTATGTACATATGTTTCGTAATAATTATAATCAGATGAAGATAATTTAATTATAGCATGCACAAATTATACATACATACATATACATATGTATATATCACGTATATCATGTCATTTTTCATTTGAATAAGTCCTTATGTGCAACAATATAATACATTATTTATATACATGTAGATGTGCAAATATTTACATATGTATATACAAGTATGTATGTTTGTATCTTTTAACAACAAAGACGTAAAATTCGCAACATCGAAAAAAAAATTCGAAGGGGCAACACTTGCGCCTTTGGCGATATAATTGGCAATAATCGATAATTTTGTACATCCCTAATAGCAACAAAAGTCAGAAAAAATTAATGCAGGCGGATCGACAGCCAAACGAGTGTCTAAATTACCAGTGCAACGTGCAGAGAGAGGATGAAGAGCTTGGACGAAATCCAGACGGAATATCCGCTTCATTGGCATATCTGGAATGGAAATATAGAACAGCTGCAATCAGCGCTGCAGGTGGCGCAGGTGAGTTGTGTGGGTGTGGCAGGCAGTGGAGCAGGTTGGCAAGGGAGGTAGCCAGGTGTGTGTGTGCTAATTCAATTAGTGCGCAACGATGACTGTGCCAGCTATGTATATGCAAAAAACAACAACTATAATAACGAGAACAATAACAACATTTTCAGATTGATAAGGAGAAAATCGATCCGCGCGGTCGTACGCCTTTGATGTTGGCCGTGAGATTAGGAAATCTACAATGTGTCAAGTGCCTTTTAGCAGCCAAATGCAATGCGACCTACGAACACGAGAGTTGGTCAAGTAAGTTCATTACTGTGCATTACGATTATCTCCCTATTTATCGGCATACGTTCAACAGTTGTGCAGGAAGCGGTATGTACGGGTGACATCGACATATTGACTGCCATCATTGAGGTGCGGGATTTGCAGCGACATATGCAGCGTGTGACACATGTCCCGAAGCTTCTTCAGCATTTGCTGGACGCGCCCGATTTCTACATCGAGATGAAGTGGGAGTTCACATCGTGGGTGCCGCTCATGTCACGTCTATGCCCCAGCGATACATACAAGGTGAGAAGCATGCCATGTCAAAAGCTTTTTCAGTAAAAAGTGCAATTGCAATAACAAATACATGAACATTAGGTGTATAAACGAGGGGCCAATGTCCGCATTGATACCACTTTGCTGGGCTTCGACAACAACACCTGGCAGCGCGGGAATCGCTCTTACATCTTTAAAGGCAGCAGTAAGTAGACCATGATTTGTCTTCTATCTTTGATTATATTATCTAATTCAACTTATTACTTAATGCAGAAGAAACAGCTACTATGATTGAAATCGACCATGACACACATGAGGTGATGGTTGAACAAATGAATAGTGAAATTGGCGATATTGTAGCCATACCCCCTCCTGTTGGTGCAGTCCGTGCCCGTCTCAATGCGCCTGTCATCACAAACACGATTGAAATGGAGAAGATTAGCTTTGAGCGCAACAAGTCGGGCATTTGGGGCTGGCGCAGCGAGAAATCAGAGCTAATCAATGGCTACAACTGCAAGGTCTATGGTGCTAGCAATGTGGAGTTTGTAACCAAGACACGTATGGATCATTTAAGCGAGGAGCAAATAAAGGTGCGCACTAATCTATTAATGCCCTGTAATATATTTTTTTATTAAATGCTTTGCATTATGTAGAACAAAACTGCGCGCACACCGCTGCACAGTCTGCTGGGAATTTCTGATGAGGATTACGTGCCCCCCACAGATGCTGCCAGAGAGCGCGTAAATGTACAAAAAAAAGTATTATAGATAGCAGCAATTAACAACATATTTTTACAGTCACCATCACCGCGACCGGGCGATATAGCTGGTGCAACGCATGGTGAGAACAATGGACGTATAACGCCTGCTGTAGTGGAAAGTAATGGCAGCTCCGCTGGCGCTTCGGGCGCCAACACACCCAGCTCGATGGTAATTACGCCCGAGGAGTATTTCAGTGCAGAGATTCAGCTGCACGGGCGGGATGTTGGCAAACCGAAAAAACTAAACACAAAAGTGCAACGCTTTAAGGCCAATCTTTGGCTGGCCGAGGAACATCCTATACGGCTGCAGGAACAAGTGCTTCCCATACTCGATCTTATGTCCACAATGGCCAGTCCACATGTGTCCAAACTCAAAGACTTTATAACCATGCAACTGCCGGCCGGTTTTCCAGTAAAAGTAGAAATTCCGCTATTCCATGTACTGAACGCATGCATCACATTTGGAAATGTGTTCGCGATGACAACGCCTGTAGAGTATGTGAACACACTGCAGGAGGACGATCGCATCACCTGTCTGGTAGATGATCGCTGCTTTGATATACCCAGCCATTATGTTAATCGGGGTGGCGATGCACGGCGCCAAATTCCACTCGACGAGGACGATATGCTGCAGTACGCCATTGAGCAGAGTCTGGCAGAGACGAGCGGAGCGGGTGGTGCCTGTGGTTTGGATGAGGACACCGATAAGGTGGACATCTGGGAGGTGCTGCGAGGTCAGCATGTGGTGGGCAGTGATCTGCTACCCGAGGATGATGAACAACTACAACGGTAAGTGTTTATTATAATGCCCGCATGCATGGTCTGCAAATTATAACGGGTCCACCTCCTGCCCCTGTAATCGCTAGTAGCCCACATTACCATCATAAGCGTTATTTACTCCCACCGAATCAAGGTCAACCTCACTTGCAATATGGTCGACACTCTCCGGCACCCCCGCCGATGTCGCCTCAGGGCACTCCTTATCGCAGTCGCTCCGCCTCGACCGGCGCTGCCAACAACCAATTCAAAACTGATCTTGGATACATGAAAAAGATATTCAAATAGTTAAAAAGTCCCTTTCCAATCTCTTTACCATATCACAGTATAGCTAGAATTCCATCTTACCTATGCTTTGTGTGTGTTTTCTGCCTTCTCTCCCAATTCACAGTGTACTGCAGGAATCGTTGTTGGGCGCCCAAGCTGGCGGGTCACCCGTTTCAGACGATGATGACGGCGGCTTCCGATATGTGGATCCTGATCTGGCCATGGCCATGCGCCTTTCCCAACAAGACCAACAAAAATACGAGCTGGAACTGCAGCGGGAACAAGAAATGATCGATCAGGCACTAAAGCTCAGCCTGCAGGAGCACTAGCCGAACCAACCAACAAGCAAGCAACCAACAAATTAATCAATCAATCAATCAATCTGTAGTCACAAGTCTGCCGTCAATCAAAGCATAGGTTTTATAGTGCGATTTTTGGTAGCTGTTAAAAATGTCGATACCAAAACTGAAATTGTTTCTATATAGTAGTAGTTTTACTTATTTTTTTCCTTTAGACTTATAATTTCGTTAGATAATATGATTTCTTAGGGAACGTTATGCATAATATTTGCTGTATTACACACATAAAAAGAGATGGGTCCTTATTTGTATTGTGATATTGAAAAAACAAAAAAAAAAATCTCCTCGTAATCCTACTTTTCTGATTGTATACTAAAGAAATCCAGAAATTAGTCTGTATAGTCTGCATATGGAAAGCTCAAGATTGGTCTGTGCTCGAAAACTGCGTCCAATCTGTGTAAAACTGCATTACCATATTATAGCTATACGATTTACACACGCAATTACATATAAGTTTATACCAACTTACGTGTATTTGTAGTATTAGCTTTTGCTAAATTTTACCATTAAGTCAAAAGAATATTATTACAGAACATGGTAGAGTAGTCCATGAAATATCTCAAGCCTTGTAAATTTTACCATCGTTGCAAAAAGTTTACATTTGAAACTAAAAAATGTAACAGCTACGTTGTAAGTAAAGTGAAGGCCCAGTAAAATATCCAATAACATTCTAAATTGTCATTTATCTAAGTACATATATTTTACTACTAATGCCTAAACGTCCTTTATTGTTTTCATTTCTAAACTTTCTGTTTTGTGTACAATATTAAATAATTCGTTAGAAAGTATGCCACAACAACAAAGAAACACATACTATATATACATATTATAGAAGTAAAAGGAAACATGAAATAATTGTACGTTATTGGAGTTTTTATTTTGGCGCTGTATTTACAAATTTAGGACACGAGCATTATTAACATTAATAACACATAATAAACACAATTCTTATCTTAGCCTATTAAGATATGACACACATATATTTTAACATATTAAAAAGTCTTACAAAACTGTTTTGGTATTTTCAAAAATGAGTAATTGAGATGAGAATTTTAGTACACTATTTGAAGAATGCTTAAGACACTGATTTGCTTAGACAGAAGGAAATGATCTAGGTATTTTTTTTAATATTCAACTGGGTGGATATTAGCTATGCCTATAAAGTATTTAAGATTACGTTCTTCAGTTTCTTAAGCAATTAAACATACACAATGGACAAAGAAGTTTATATAAAAGTGCAGACTAAAAATGTATGTATGCACGAATAAGGTGTTAGAGTAGGTTGTATAAAAAAATGAAGCTTTTTTAAAGTATTGACTAAAAAATGACACACACGCACATTATATACACGGATACAATATATATATATATATATATATATATATATATATATATATATATATATATATATATATATATAAGGTACAAGACTTAACATCTATCTTATGCTCACTTTGTGCTTAAGAACTAATCGGCAGCAGGACAAAGTGTAAGTGTTCATAGAGATATGAGAGCACAAAGCTCCTAGATATATTTGAAGCACTTTTGCTTGTCATGTGGTATGCGCGTCTTGAAGAGGATCGAGTCGGCGCGATATTGTGTATTGAGCAGCGGCGTATAGCCAAAGACCTGTAAATTATTCATATTATACTATATAGCATACGCATAACATATTTGTTCTTATGATTTTACCTGACTGAAGAAATTGATGCATTTGTGACGTTCCTGGAAGTGCGTATCGTCTTCGCTGAGTGATACGGGACACCCGGGACAACGGAATGTCCAACGGGATGTGACCTTTACGGGCGGTCTTCTAGTAATGTGCGAAACAAGGAAATTCATTGCAATATCCTCGCAATTCATGTACTCATCCACCTTATCGCGTATGGCCTGTAAAGTGGTACAAATTTAAATGTATGGTTATGTATGGATAAAAATTATATTTGAAAACACAGCTTGTTCTACAGTCTTAGAAATATAAAAATTCATGGCGAAATGTTGGGTTCATTTTTCAGACATGTCTACCGATTTGTGTCGCTCTTCTACTCTATTCCTTTAAACCTTTCAGATACTGCCATCTACTCCTTACTAGTGATATGTTTTGGTTTAATTAATAAATGTAAATCTTACCTGCGGCAGGTGATATGTGTACAGGTACATGTAGTACTTGTGTAGGAAGGCAGCACCGGTAAGGACCATGCTCAGTTCGCAGCTGTAGTTGGAGTTGTAGTGCCACATGTTATTGCTACTCAGATCCCAGGCATGATACCGGCCTGGGAAGCCGACCACGCGGTCGCGATGCTCGCGCCAGACACGAAAACCAAATAGGATTTCGTCGTGTCGCAAATGGGCATCGTCATCGACCGAGAGAACTGCTTCGGTTTCAATCACATCGAAGGGTAGAAAGCGATTATTGAGTGAATTGCGTGGAGCTCGAACGACAGCAACGGGCACGCCAATGTCCGGCCAGCGCAGATCATCTAGAGGTGGCTTGGGCGAGTTCCAGACAACAACGACCTTATGAAGATAGGGTAAACCATAGAGCCGGCCCAGCGAGTCCATCAGCACCTGTTCTCGCTCGTAAGTGAGAATAACAATTGTAAACTGTTCTCGTGGATAATTTCCACCCAGAGCTTCGCTAAATTCTTTGCCAGCGCCACCAATTCCCTTGCCAATCGGTCGAAAACCTGTATGGGAACCCATGAACTTGGCTTCCGACGGCAGAGCCGGATCGAATGGTAGTTGTGGATACATATAGAAGGGGTCAACCTACGAAAAATTGCAGACTGCTAAGTAAAAGTGGGAGTAGGTGTTATATATATGGGCAACTCACCCAATCATTCCAGGCCTCCTTTGACTGGATGCGTAAAATTGTGTAGTTGCGCCGAAAGGCGGGACTTGCATACGGTGGCTCAATGGGACCAAGTGACTCTTCCGGTTCTGTGTCCATGCCCACGGGCGGATCTGACTTGAGCGGTATGAATGTGCTATTGAAAACGCTCTGGGCTATAATGGGCGGCACTGGTCGTGGCGGTATGCCCAATCTATCACGCAGGCTAGCAATTACAGTGTCTACTGTGGCCTGCACCGAGCTAAGATAGCGCTCCCAGATCAAGCGCCCTTGTCTTCGCAGTAATAATAAATCGGCATCCTGGACTGCACGCAGCAGGAAATGCAATTCCGTAATGCGGGCCTTGGGCAATAAGAGTGCCACACGTCGCCAATCGATGGTCTCAGAGTAAGGAAGGCGCAATTCATCGGCACCTAAAATGACGGGAACAGCACCGGAGCGCAATGCTTCGTATAGTCGGGCCAGCATCAATGTTGAGCTAACGCGCTGCGACAGCGGTGGCAGAATTAATGCAAACGTAGAGTCCTTTAGCAGTTGCTTGCGCGAAGAATCCGATCCGCAAAGCGTCCAATCGGTCACAGCATCTGAGTCGTGCTGCTCTGTGGCTGGCACACATTGGAATTGCAACACAAATTGATCCTGAGTGGCACCTTTGGACATATCTTTCAAGTGTTCCAATATGAAGTCGTCCAGGGGATGGGTACCCATCTGAGGCTCCTCCAATAGTGGACGCAGCTCACCTTGAAACGTGAGCAGATATTTGCGGCGTGCTGGCACCATGCTGGCACATTCCTGCCATACATCACCGCCAGGTGGTCCCAATATGGGCGGCACAATAAGGTCGTAGTTGGGCCGAAATTGTTCACGTTCGAAGGCACTCTGCACGACAATGGCGCGCATGGTGTTCTGTTGGAGCAGTGCATTGGTCCGACGTGAGTTCAGGTCACGTCGCGCCAAATTTAACAATACGTGATTGCGTCCATCGCCACCCCAATAAGGCAGCTTATACAGGCGTTGCATGTCAATGGGTGAGGCGCCTTCATTACCGACTTGACTCGGAGCCGTGGTGCGCAGCTGTTGATGTTCCGCCTCCTGCGCAGCGTAGCGGTTGTTGCGCAACAAATCTTGCTCCAAAAGCGCCTCGCCCACCAACACCAGATAAATGCAAGCATGCTTCGGATCGTGCACAATGTGCGCATTGTAACCCAATGTTTGCTTAAGCGTCGTTTTCAAAAAACCATCGATATCGTAACCGGCCCGCTGCACGTTATACACATCCGGATCGTAGAGGTAGACGGGAAAACCGGAAGTGAGACTGCAACGTGAATGATCGAAGCAATTGTGCATCTCGCAAGATTGGCTCACTCCGCTGGCTACAGGGTTCATTTTACGTGGCAGCGAGTTGGGGAAAAGAGTGCGCGGCAATGCCAAGTCCGGTGTATTACGCTGCACAGCCTCACGTTGGGCCACCTGTGCTTGCGCCACAGAGATTTGAAGGCGATCTAGCTCAGTTTGTTCGCGTTGTAATTCTTGCTTATGCTCCTCGATCTTCTGATTGTACTGACTAATATCCGACTGAAGTTTTTGGCGACGTGACTCAAGTTCTCGCAGCTCTACGGAAACGGTGCTCTGTCGGATGAAAGAAGTCGTTAATACAAATTTCGCTTTAATTACACTCATTAAACACTGACTTTGATTCTAAGCATCTCTTCAATGCGCATCTTTAAATCGGTTGCCCGCATGGCACTGAAATCCTCGTAAGCGTCTAGCAATGGTCTACTTCGATGCACATCCGTAGGTGGCGTATCCTGCTCTGCCTGTTAAGTAATAACAATTCATGATATAATATTGTTAGCTATAAATAATAAATTGTGTATCATTCTCACATTCAAGAGCTTGCGATGCGCCAACAAAGGCAACAGTACCAGCAACAACAATATGAGTATTGTCACCTTATACAGGCGATACTGACGCAACCACGAGACACCCATGCTGTGCCGTTGATGATGCGACCTTTCGTTGCTCTCCAATGGTTGATAAGCAGTGCCACTGTCGCTGTCGCCTCCGGAGGGTTTGCTGTTGCTGCTGCTTAGGTCAACAGCCAGAGACATCTTATGTGCTGAGCAGCAATTCAGCGACGGCCACAGCCCCGCTCACTGGAACAAACTTTGTATCAACTCCTTACGAGCTATTGCATATTTTGACGCATCATATTACAGCATTTCACTAATAAGGCAGCATTTATATAAAAAGAACTGTGTTCTCATTTCTGCAAAATCTTTGACGGTGCATTTTGGCGTTTGGCTTTATTTAGCCCGTTAGTAGGCGCTGATAAAAGAATTGTGAAAAATTGTTTTGAGTTACACTGTACTTTAAATACGGTTTGATTGACAGCTAATTTAAAAAACAAAATGTAAAAACAATATTAAAAAGTCGAAATAAGCACATCAAAATCAAACCCAGTTGCCACCTCGTTAAAATAACATTTAATATAAAAAGCCTTAAAACAGCTGTTACCGTCAGCCATGTTTAGTACACTGCGAAGGTCATTTAACATTGGTATAAATAGTATTTTTTGGAGGAAATCTAAAGCCGGCCCAAGCGCACAATTTCCCTCCTTGCAGTATTCCAATTGCAATATGTCGAAGACCGCGTTGATAATATTGGCTCCCGGTGCCGAGGAAATGGAATTCACGATTGCCGCTGACGTGCTGCGTCGTGCGGGCGTAAGTTTTGACCGCCTTATATCAGCATTTACCAATTTAGTCGATTTCGCTTGCAGATTGCTGTCACAGTTGCAGGTCTGAATGGTCCGGACCCAGTGAAGTGTTCCCGTGACATTGTTATATTACCAGACACATCACTAGAGACTGCAGTGGCCCAGAAGTATGATGTTGTTGTGCTGCCAGGTGGCCTTGGGGGATCCAAGGCGATGGCTGATTCACAAATAGTGGGCGAGCTATTGCGTGCGCAGGAGGGCGATGGACGTTTCATCGCAGCTATTTGCGCTGCCCCAACAGCTTTGGCGGCTCATGGCATTGCCTGTGGTAAAACTCTTACTAGCTACCCAGCGATGAAAAAGCAATTGGAAGACAAGTACAGGTGAGTGCAGTCAATATTAATATATGGGTAGTCCTACTAAGATGGTAAATTTCAGCTATGTCGATGACAAGAATGTTGTCCAGGATGGTAATCTCATAACTAGTCGTGGTCCCGGTACAGCCTATGACTTTGCGTTGAAGATTTCGGAACAATTGGTCGGTGCTGAAAAGGTGCAGGAGGTGGCAAAGGGGATGCTTTTGACTTATTCTTAAGCAAAAAAATACTTGTAGTTGGTCAAAGCAAAAACTGCGGTATTCGCTAGTCGAACATTTAATATTGTATTGAACAAATATTAATATACATATATACAGGTAAAAAGTATACATAATTATTAAATAAGTGGGAAAAGGATGAGGAAAATGCTATGTTATTCAACAGTAATTTAACATAGCGCAGCTTAAGATACCTGTTACTTTTTGATTTTAAAACAGCTGTTCGTCGAGTGTTCATTGCGAATGTCAAAAAGTAGGAAGAAGCAGCACAGCTAATTGCAATTCATAAACATTCCTTACATTTTGTGTAAATTGTGCTGTAGTTTAAAAATGGATATATCCGCCTTGTCGGAGGACAACTTTAGCGCTGCCGAGTGGATAAATGCAAACTACAAGAAATACATCGAAGAAAACGCCGGCTTAGCGGGAAGCGCTGCTGAGCCGGATCCGGCAGCCACGTCTTTGGCTTTTATTCAGAGCTACGTGTCCAAGTTACAGCTTTATGTGCAACAAGTAAATTATGCTGTCGAGGAGTCTAGTCAGCAGGTAGTGGCGAGTATGCCGCGAATCGCCAAGGAGGCGGCAACGCTGCAAACCGATGTTGAGCAGCTGCAGAAGCGTATGAGTGCCATGCGCCAGGAAGTTGCGGCCGTCCAGGACGAGACAGGTGATTGCATGGCCACATTGGAGCGCCTCAATGCTATGCAAACAAAACTCCAAGCAGCAAAAGAATCCCTGCAGGAATCCGATGGCTGGGGCAATCTTTTGGCCGAACTAGAGGATTGTTTCGAGCGCAACGATCTGAAAGGGGCTTGTGAAAAGCTGGCGCAGCTCCAAAAATCTCTGCAAGCTCAGGAACAACTGCCCGGCCATGCGGAGCGTCTCACTCAGGTTGAGGATTTCAAGAATCGGCTTGAGGCTTTGGCCTCGCCCAGCGTGGTGCAATGTTTCGCCGAATCGCATCTGGAGCAGGCACAGCGCTATGTGCAGATCTTCACCAGCATCCAGCGCCTGCCTCAGCTCCAGCAATATTACCGAGCCGTGCAAAAGAATACGTTGCAGCAACAGTGGAAGCAAACGCTGGAGCTACAGGCAGCCGAAACGCAACAACAGCAGCAACATTTCCTTACACTCTACTATGATCAGTTGCTGGAGCATTGCCAGCGTCAGCTCAAGTGGTGTACTCAGCTGTTTAATGATGATCCGGCCGAAGGACAGGCACAGCCTTTTCGGGTCATTGCCGAACTGCTGCCGGCATTGCAACCTACACGTGATGCCCATATTTTGCAATTGCTGAAGACATCCAACGAGCGCCTGGAACTTCTCGCCCAGTTCGCCCAAGCCAATGATAGTTTTGTACTGCATCTGAACGCATTTCTGGCGCAGTCCAACATCAAACTGCCGGCGGATTTGATGAGTCAACTGGGCGATGCAATCTACGAGTATTTCTATAAGTTCATACAGCAGTATCCGCGGTTGGAAGAGACACAATTATCCACGCAAGTGGATCGGCTACTGGCGAACCAGTCCACGCCCAGCGAAGCAGTGCGTCATCTGGAGGAGAGCACACGGAAGTTATACGAATGGTTGCAGCAGGCATGCGTCCGCTGTTCCGATATCACCAACGACCTCGCCCTTTGCAAACTCGTAACGCTGCTAAATGGAATTTTCAAGCGCCAGTTAGAGAGCTTCAGCAAATCGCAGCGTCAGCTTAGCTTGAGCGTGGGCAGCAGCAGTGAGACGGCGCGCAGTGAGAATTGGTCGCTGCTCCAGTACACCATGTCCCAATTGCAATGTCTGGCCGACTTTCAGTTGCAGCTCCACAAATTCGAAGAGATGCTGCACACGCGCATGTCCACATTGTCGGAACGACTGCAGCAAAGTGCGAACGGAAGCGCTATCAGCATCTATCGGACGTATGATCGAGCGGCACAACAACAGCTCCTCGCCAGCATTGCTGACTATCAACAGAAGCGCGCCGAGGCCACCGCCACAGCGACCAATGTTGACACCCTGGGTATATTTCCACAAGTCTACAGTAGCCTCAAGACGCACTTTACTGAGACGCACGACATTACCCTGAACATTTTACTGCAGCCTATCGAGGTTCATTTGGCCCACATTCGACCGCCAGTCGATGCGCAGGCCCATCCTTCTGCGGCCATGGACCTGCCCGCCTTCAGCTTTGCGCCCCAGGAATGCATCACACAAATTGGCCAATATTTGCTCACACTGCCGCAACATTTGGAACCGTTGTTACTCTCACCGTCGGCACTGCTGAAACAGGCCTTGGAGCTGTGCAATATCAAGTATATCCAGTCCATACCCTGTGCGGATGTGCTCCTTTCGCTCGTCGTTGAACAGTGCTGCGTGCTATATCAAGCGCAGATTCTGCAAATCAAGTCTCTGCCCGCCTCGGCAGCCACCCAACTGGCAGTCGATATTGAGTACTTGTCCAATGTATTGGAGGAGTTAGGTTTGAACATCAATTTGCAGTTGTCCCACATTTTAATTCTACTTAAGGCCGCTCCGGATCAATATCTGATACTTAGCAGCGGCTGTGAGCCACGTCTGGTTACGGCCATTCGCCAAATGCGCAACATAATATCGACGCAATAAATATTTGTAATATTAATAACCATTTACCTATAAACATATGTATACATTGATAACATTATTAAAAATTGGGCTTTAATATTTAATAGCTTTCAAAGCCCCAGCTTGCCTGCTATAGGTATTTTTTAATTCGTTAGAAATGGAAAATTCCACGTAAATAATCCTTTTGGATGTCTATAATTCGCTAGTGTCAAGTTATTTTGATCTCCAGCAAGTAAGCGAGCCGACTGGGATTTAAACTCTGAATGTAAGCAAAACAAAAATTAAATAAAGTGAAGTTGGTTGCTCTTCAAAAGTAAACAAACGCGATCCTTACGGTGCCTTGCGAAACGTAAACAAATTGGGGCTCTCCCATTGGCTGCATTACAAATGTAAACAAACGCGATCTTACGGTGCATTGCGAAAAGTAAACAAAAGTCAGCTGTTTAGCTTTAAATAAACAAGCTGCCTACTGTCCATTTATGTTCGCCTGGTAGATAGTGCGGGTTTATGCGTCGTTAAAAGGCCAACTTGGGCGGTTGGGAAATTTAATTTTTTCGGTTTGGATATGAAATTTGCATTCAATTCGGGTATTCATACACCAGGCGAGCATAAGTGAACGGCAAGTAAATAACCCGGCTGGGATTTAAATTCTGAATGTAAGCAAAACAAAAAGTAAGCAAAGTGAAGTTGGTTGCTCTTCATATGTAAACAATCGCGATCCTTACGGTGCTTTGCGAAACGTAAACAAATTGGGGCTTTCCTATTGGCTGCACTTCAAATGTAAACAATTGCAATTCTAACGGTGCTGCCCGAAATGTAAACAAAGATCAGCTGTTTAACTTTAAATAAACAAGCAATGCAGTTGCCTACTGCTCATTTATGTTCACCTGATAGACAATGCTGGTTAAAGTGTCGTTCAAAGGGCGCCGCCAACTTGGGCAGTGCAAACCAGCAAACGTGATGACGTATGTTATTCACAGCTTGGCCTGTGCAAACAAAGTACACGTAAGAAGCAGGAAGCTTCTCCGACCCTATAAAGTATATAAAGAGAAATCGATCTAGACATGTCCGTCCGCAAGGACAGGCCAGTTCAATATATTTGCGTATCGGGATAATATCAGTATTTATATATTTTTAACCCAGGCTTAAGCAAAAAATCACCCCGAAAGCGTTAAGACAAATAAACCAGACTAAACAGGCACACATTCACCAAGATCGTGGCAGTATTCGATAAGATATATCCGCAGATTTCCCACAAAATATTGACGATGGGATATGCTGTTGTCAGCACTATTTTTGTACTAACTTTTATTACACTTCAAGTCGCGAAATTCTTTTCACAAATTATTTGTACCTAATTATTAATTTATGCTTAAGCAAAATGTTTATTTTTTTTTAAATTATCACGTGGTTTTTACGCTAAGTTAACCATTCAAATATTTTCATTTCAACATAACTCATTTGTTGGTGTACATAATAGAAATTATAAAATGTAAAATAGCACTTTGCCTAACAACCACAATCGCTCAAAATGTGGATCACCCTTGTGACAGCAAAAGAAGACAGGTGGAGGTGTTGGTTAAGCACAATTATTCTAAAACTAATGCATTGCAAATCAGGACATATATGTATAAGTAGATCGCTCATATGAGCTCGCATTAAATAGTTCAATAGAAGTCGAAACTTTTTAAGCTTGCACCCGTGTTTGCTTAATTTGGTTGGCAAATAACTTTCTTGTTCTTTGTTATCGTTATTTGTGCTATACTTTGGAATTTAATTATATCAATATTAGATTAGAACCTATACTTGAATCCAGTTTTTTCAATTACCGATATACTTTTCGTTCATTCTGCTTTAAGCTTACTAATAAATAATTATATTCAACCTAAAGCCTCGTGCGACAATCGAAAAAATGGCAAACTGCCCATTAGATTAGAGTTAAATACACAGTTAAAATTTTCTTTACGAATAGATTTGAGTTTCCGCACTATTAGTAACTCAATTAATTGGGTACAATCGGCGCAATTACATTCGCAATGCTGACAAAATGTCAGTCAAACAGTGATGCTGACAGATTCGACAAACGTTATTGAATGCGTTGGATAGTTTATCGCTCAGTTTCAGGTAAATTTTCATCATTTTTAATGGTTGTCGTTGTCTTCCCCTTCTTCGTCCTTATTGTCGTTGTGGCTTTGCCAGCGTTAGCCGGCGTAGATCCATATCAGAGAACCTTCTTTACGCTATCCTGGGGCAATGCAGCTGTCGAAACGGTGGCGGTGGCCTTTGTGGATGCAGGTGGTTTTGGCTTGGCTGACGGTGAGGGCGGACTTGTTGGTATCGTTGGTGGAACGCTTATTTCGGTTGTTGGCAGCAGTTTTTCTATCTGCCGTTCGGCCGCTTCGCGAATCACAGCATCGGAGGTCGGTATTCCCGATCCTCTGGTACTGTTCGTTGTACCCATCTTAGGCGCCTCACCTCCGCCAAAAGGTTGGTTTGTGCCCCCCGAGGCTTTGGGCGGTGTACGTTTGTTTGGAGCATTGGAACCGGGCTTATCGTCAGCTGGGGGCTGTGGATTTAGTTCCTTGGCGTTGTCCTTCAATATTTTGGCCATATCCTTATGCGCGGGCTGTAAGTGAAAAATATAAATTGTTATTAAGTTTTAGGATTATTAATGACTTAAAACAAATTCGGGTTCGAGAATTAATTGTATTAACTTGGTTTGAATATGTTGGGTTTTTATTTGAATAGTACCTCAACTTTAAGGCCTTTGGCTACGTCCTTTAACTCATCAACATTTAGATTTGCCTTCTTTTTCGCCTTTTCAAGTGCAGACTAAAAAAAAACAACAAAAAATTCGTTATAGTTTCTGTAAAATCAATTGAAAATAAAATATGTTGGGTTCTAATTTTAATTATACCTCATCTTTAAGGGTCTTAGCTGTGTCATTTAACTTGTCGACGAGCTGATTTGCCTTTTCTTCAGCCTTTTCAAGGGCACCCAATTCCGTGGCAATATCTTGAATCTCTTTAGCCGAATCATGAATATCGTCTACTAGTTTGGCCATTTCCTTGTCCGTCTTCTCAACCTCTGCTTTCAGTTTCTCAGCCTCCTTAATGCTCTTCGCAATGGCTTTTTCGATCTTTTGCTCAGCGTGCAGTATCTGCTCCTTGTCGAGTAACGCAATTAGCTCTTCGATAGCCTTATCGCTCAACTTAATATTGTCTCGTCCAAGAGACTCGAGCACCTGGGAAGTAGAGGATTATTATCATGAGATTCAAAACTCAACTTGTGTAACATACCTTGCGTATTTCATTGACAGTCACCACACCATCCTTGTCAGCATCGAATTTATCCAGAACGGTTTCGATGTGCTTGAGGCGCGCCTCATCGGACGTTTCTTTTAGCTGTACAATGGGATTGAGTTTGAAAAATTCTTACAAAAAGCTTAATAATGGGTGGCCTGCTTACCATTTTGATGTTCAGCATTAGATCATCAATACGGACGATTTCTTCGTGACGACGCTTTGAGGCCTGCTTCGTCAGTAGATCAGTGAACTCCTCCAACTGTTTTTTGTCAATTTTTGTCGCCTCGCTGTCGATGCTTTGCACGACTTTTGTGATCTCATGCACCGAAATGGCACCATCCTTGTCCGCGTCTAGCTTAACCATCAGATCTTCAACCACTTTGAATCGTTCCTCATCTGAGGATTCCTTCATACGACGAATGGTGGCCACCAGCTCGTCGATGTGCACCACTTCTGCACGCGGCGCTGCAACTGATGAATAACCACTGGTTTCGACCTTCTTTATGTGCGCTTGACGGTTCTCCAAATCGTGCAGAACAGTATCGAGCTGCGATATCATCTTGTTCACACGGTTATACAATAGTTTGGCAGCCCGACTTTCGCGCACCGGCTCCTTAACCACTTGCCGCACCTCATGCAGCTCCTCGACATCGTCCTTGTAGTCACGTAGTTCCTCCTTTAACTCCTTGATCGTCTCTTTTTCAACAACCAGTTGTTTGTCAGTGGATAATGACTTCAATGCGTCGGAAAGCAGCTGCACATCCGTAGAGGAAATTCCATCTGCTTCCTTTTCTGGCTTGCTGTCTAGACAGTCTAAGGTAGAATCCAACACTTTTGCCTTTGCTAGATCCTCAGCATAAACGTAGGGCGCTGGTATGTCCTCCTTGATCGCCGATCGCTTGGCGATCTTCTCCTCTTGTTCCTCCAGACGTTCTTCTTTGATCCTACGCTCTTCCTCTTGTATGACCTGGATCTTCGTCTTATTGTCCACCTTACCTTCTCGTTCACCAATAGCATGACGAGTGTGAGCGGCTACTGCGTCTGGCAACACGCGCATCGTCTCCTTGAGTTTATCGGTGGTGATGCTATCGTCCGAGATAAGCATGGCGCGCGAAAGCAGCAACAAGGTGGGTGGAACCTGCTCGTTTAGGGACAGATCTATCCATTCTTTAAGCTGAAAGCGCAAACGCTCCGCTGTAAGACCGTAAGCTCGCATGCCTCGGGCCTTGCACGCTTGCTGAAGTTCAAAGAGATCAAGCGAATCGACGCCCTCACGTGCTATTACACGATCATCAGTGGCCAGCGAGCGTAACTTGAGACGCAACTGGAATCTTAACAGCATCGTGGTCCCGATCGTGTTGAGCTCTAGAACACGACAAAGCGCAGCAAGTTGCTCCCTCGATAGCGAATCTAATGTGATCTCATCATCAAAGCGTTTGGCATACTTAATGATTTCTTCATTGCCCACATATTCGTTGGGGCTGCGAATCCTACGAAAGAAATCTTCGAAGTCTTTAGCCTCTTGGCTTTTGTGCTCTTTGTGCTGTACTGGCATTTGGCCGAGCGTTTTTTGTAAAAACTTGGCTACTTCCAGGCGCACTCCCAAGGACTGACGCAAGCGCTCCTGCCGATCCTTTGCTGTTTGGAACGTCGAGGGCAACATGCCAGGAAAGAATTTGATAAAGACAGGCAATAGTAACTCCATGAAGGGCACCACAATGAAGACTGAGAAGGGTATGAGTCGAAACAGATCTGAGGTGGTGCGCATCAATTGTTTATTCTCACGGCGCGTCATTGTTTTGCCATTAAGTACTCGCCACAATAGCTTCGTGCTGATCGCCACATCAATAAACAGGAGCCGAAAGCCATGGTAATAGTGCAATATTTCCTCCCAAATGACTTGTTGCATTGGCTTTTTGGGTTTTGTTTTTACTATTGTGTTCGGGGCTGCCTCAGCTACTGCTACCTGCGCTGTCGCCGAGCCTTTTGTACTTTCTTTCATTACGCCAGCTGCTGCACTGGTCGCAGTTGCTGCGGCTGTCGTAGTAGTTGCTGGCTGCCCATTGGCCACTTCCTTCATGATCTCCTCGACTTTCTCTTTTTGTTGATTTTTCAGCTTTTTCACTGTGGCATCCACTTTTGATTGGGACGCCTCATGAAGAGCTCGCGAAACGTGAAGATGCCGAATACCATAGCTGGAGTACGGATGATGATATCGCAGGGGCACATGAAATGAAGAAATCGAAGCCGTTTCTATCACAGTGGGGTGTTTCTTATTCTGCAGGATCTGTGCACGCCGTCCAGACGTCTGTTCTGCATTGTGTTTCGTTGCGCAACAGACGCAGTAATTCGTTCGGAGATCTGAGATGGCAGATGAGAGCATTGAATTAGTTAATCAATTGGATAGATTATTAAATTTATTTTTTTTGAAGAAACAGTCAGTTGGCGCTTAGAAGTCAAAGGACCGACTTAAATTGCAATTTAGTAAATAAAGGTTAAGTGGTTCGATTCCAATGAGTCAACTTGCGTCGACACGAAAGAGAATGCAATTCGTTAAAGGACCATAAACATCAATTACAAACATATACTACACGTATTTATTTCTGTTGCTTTTAAAAAAATATTCCGTTAAAGTGTTGTGCACACCCTTTAGAAAAATATTCAAACTTTTAATGTCCCAATAAGTTCTGGGAAAACAATTTAAAACGTAAAAAAAGAATTTTTGACTCTTGGCACCGGCTATTAGACCACATTAATGTGTTGACTCGGTGCGGCCCCAATGCAAACATCGTACTAAAATACATTACAGAGGGTCGACGAAAAGAGGTTTGTGTTCAAATTTATTGAAAAGGTCGAAATGTAGCCGGCTATTTTAAGTGGGCCACAAAATGTAAAACAATACCAATAAATTATTAATCATGTATAAGAAGAACAACAATAATGCTAAACACCTATTACTTTATCAACAGAACTTTCCACTTGATTACGTCGCGATCAGCCGACAAATTGATAAATAAAAACGAACACAAAAACAAAGGCTAAAAAATGAGCACTTGGATTGCTGAAATGGCACAAAGGTTTCTTATGCAAGGAAATTAATATGAATGCCTATCTACGAACGTAAGTTTGTATAGTATATACATATATACGTGTACATACGTATGTATGTACTTAAGAATAAAAGCGTAAATTTCTGAATTTTCTTTCTCACAAGTATCAAAAAAGAAAGTGCGATGCATTGAAAAATGTTCGCTAGCCGCCATGTTAGTTTCACTTAATTCACTTTTCCTTTTTCATTTGGTGGGTATTTGGCAGATTTTCAAATGCTTTCCTTAAATAATTCATCACATTCAATGTAAACAAGCTCAAGGTAACAGTGCGATGAACAAATTAAAAGATAAATGCAACGATTGCAGTCAAGAAAGTGAGAGGAAAGAGCAGTTTGGTTTATTTGCGTTGGACTGGACGCAATGTACAGGGTGTTGGGGTATTTGTGCGATAGTCACGGCGTCAGTCTGTCTGCCTATTTTTGCGCACCTGTACATACATACAAATGTACATGTATGTATGAGTCGTTATTCTTCTGCCTTTGCTGACGTTGTGTACACGATATAAAATAAATGTTCCGGTTTTTTTCGCTCGCAATACATTCAAGATGTTTATTTTTTCAATATATATATGTATGTGTTAATAATTAATGTACATACATACAATATTCCCACCCCTTAATTATTTTGTGCGTCACATATAAGCCAAAATTATTTACAACAATTTGAGATTTCATAGATAAGGCAGAAGGGAACGTTTCAAAAGTCCAAATATAACGACCGATGTATATGTACATACAGAAGTTTTTTCGGCAAGCAAACAAGAAAACGTGAAAACAAAGCATGTAAATTAAATTAGCAGTAAAAATGTGAATGACAGCAACAAGTTGAGCAGGTGATATCACCTGAGCGTGTCTAACAAGGCCAGGTAGATAGATTAACTGTTGATGAATGCACCCTGTATGGCATTGTTTTTGCAACGCACTTTTATAAGGGACGAAACAATATGGAATGGCGTTGCAACGAAACAGCTGTGCTTGCCGAATGCGGAGGTAGTCAAAACAAAATAAGTATTGGATAGCAAACGCACACACATATCACGCGAGGGACACATACATATGTACATACACACACATTGTCAGGTTTAGTGGTTGTACGTAAAATCAATGGAAACTTTTCAGCCTTGGCATTGCGTTTTTGTTTTTGTCTGATTTTTTGTTCGTGTTTGTTATGGGTTGGGACTTACAGCGCTTGTAGAAATTTTGGATAATGTGGTTTGATCTCGCATTCGGCCCCTTATGACGCAGTAGTGCATTCATGTTGTTTGTGTCGAAGCGGCTGCGGGCGTGATAAGTTGTTGTTTATCCAATTCCAGAGAACTTCAATATTATAATTTTGAATTTCCGATACACTTTCTAAGATGTACCTTTGGATTAGTTGTCGTAGTTGTTGTTTCTTTATGCTATTGTAGTTCTTATTGCCGTTTTGTTGTTGGTACAACGTTACGTATGGGGAATTTTGAGTTCAAGCCCGCTTTTGAGGTTAAAGCCTACAAATAAAAGAACTGTTGTTAGTGTCACGATAAATTTAGTGAACAATATTATTGCCGAAAATTAAAGATTTGATCACGCAATTGTTTGATGTCAAAAATAAAGTCAAAACTGTTGACATAGCTCCTTCACACATATACATTTAAGTACCCAAACATATGTAGATGTATTTAAAAGGACGCAGCGGCAACAAAGAGTTGAACTTATTCGCAAGTATTTATTGTAAATCTGTACACATTCACATATCGATATACATATGTTTGTACGTATTTATGTACATTTATATATTTCTATACCAATGCATACGTCATCTAGACACACCGCACACTGTGATAGCTGGCAAAATTTGTCAGGCGATTGTTTTGTTGTTGCTCGGCACTTTCCGAAAATTACACAACCATAGAAGCTAATTTCACACAACAGGCACCTTGTCTTGTTAGCTACTGGCAAGACAATGTACATCGCACAAACAGCATTGAACGGTAGTTCTTAAGGCACACGCATTTAATGTGATAACTGTTCTATTACTTTACCATTCAATTTATTTTGTTCGTTATTCCAGCAATTGTGCATAAAAAATTAATGTTTATGCTGGCACTTAAATTTAGTTGCTGTGATTCGCAGTTCTCCGTGTTTCTGTGTTGCAAAAAAGTCAATGAATGGCCGCATCGATACCAACGGTAGGTTGCCACCTAAACAATTCAATATGGTATGTTGCCACTCTGTAGAAATATTCTATGCGCTTTTCACATCAAAAAGCTTTTGTCTGCTTGTGAGCAAAATTGCAGGCTTGCAGCAAGACAATGCATTATAGTAGTCAGTTAAATTATAAAAAATTTTAATTTCTTTTACTTTTGCTTTGACATTTATTTAAAAAGGCTTGTGAAGTTTTTGATTTTTACTTGGCTTATATGCCATTGACAATATTGTTAAATTCTCATGGCTGTTCCAATTTCCGAAATCGAATCATTGGAAAACAAAATTGATCCTATTCAGTTTAAAAAGTTTTCTGGTTTTTGAGGAATTTACATCAGCAATTATTTAGGTTTTGATAAAATATAATTATAATGTAATGGTTGCATGAAAATCGATAGTAAAAGCAATCGAGCGATCCTCGCCACACGGCCGTGCACTGTTACAATTTAAAAATATTATACTCAACGAGATGTTCTGCACATTTGTAAAGCAAGTTAGTTTATTCGGCGCGCAAAAGGAGCCTAAATAATACATCAAAATAAAAACAAATCCGAAATGCAATTGTTTTGCTTTTGAAAAGTATGTAGGTACATACATACATGCGTATGCCCAATCTAATAATTGGGTGAAAACAATAGACTTCAGGATGTTTGGTGTAAACGTCGATTTTATTTGGAAGTACACAAAGGAATTTATAAACAATACGTCTTTTTATTTCATCTAATTGAATACGTAAATTAATATTTTTTATTTTAGAACGCATATATTTTTATGAATATATGCATTGCAACAAACGTTTTCTGTACAGATAAGTATATAAATAGGTAAATGGACTTTATATCTTAATATATATTTATGATTAGTTTCTTAATTCCCGTGAATTCCATAGTACGTAAACTTGTTTGCATCATTTTCCAAATATTTTCAAAAGAATAGTCATATTCCGTCATCTAAGCATTTCGAATTGCATTGTTCTCTTCCTGCATTATATCACACACAGAGTTTATTAATATCTTTCGTTTTTCGTTAGTTATTACTTCGATCTTCTTTGACTTATACGGTGGCACAATTTTCGATTCTCAAAGGTACGTACTTTCGGGTTTTCATTTCATTAGGCATTTTCTGCAGTAAACTTTGGTGATAAATTTGAGATAAGTAAAACAAAATGCTAACAAATACATACATATTAAATTAAATGTACAAACAGCTAACTACACAACTTTCAACGCAAATAAATTTGCATTTGTACATACATATTTGCTGACTAAACTACAAGCGTTAGAATGCAACAAAATTTCTAATATTACTTTAGAATACTTGACAGGCTGGTATAGCCTGTGGCACCATTGTTGGACTCTTCCGGGCGTCGTCGGCAACAGGCACAGCAGCAAACGTTGCGCACAACATCCAGGAAAGTTGTCTGATCAAAGTCATCCATATCGTTCATAAATACGCCTGAGCTGATGTCTTCCTGAGTGCGTGTGCCAACAAACTGCTTGAGATCCGACTCTGGGAAGCCCTTCTTGTAGTACTCCTTGATCGTTTCGTATGCGTCAATGATGACTGAGATGAAGAGGGACAGCACCACATATATGTAGAGAGAAATAAAGGAGTACAGGTAGATTTGACAGAACCACCACAGCCAGTCGGCCTTGATCGATAGGGTGGCGAAGGTGGCAAACATATCGTCGCCATTAATTAACGAGAAGAGGCACTCTGAAGTGGTGGCCAGAGAGCGGAACTTCAGGTGATAAGGCCCAAGTATTAGCCAGCCACAAAATGCAAATCCCGCATATATAAGTAGGGCAGCAATAAGGAAACGCAAGATTTTCGGTGCCGCCTTTTTAAGCACCAAAATGACAACATTGTAGGTCTTAAAGAAGCCCAAATAACGCAACACACCGAACCAGACTAACAGATTTCCTACGCCTAAGAACAGCGAACAGGTATCCCACTGATCCACAACAACAAAGCGTCCTTCGATCTGCTCCTTCAACGCAGAGCCAATGATGAGTAATACATCGTTGAAGATGATCATAATATACCTTGAAGGAATTTAAAATTAAATAAAAATCCTCCGATAAATAAAGAACGAAATTAATGTTCCTTACCAAAAATTGACGAACTCCAGTCGCCCATCGAAACTCAGCTCTTTGCCTAGCTGTCTCCTGAAGAAGTTGATTGTTGTAAATCTCAATAAATAGGCACGCCACAGGGCTCGTGTGCAAAGGGCGCATGAAACCGCACACGTAAGCAATACGAAAATATTTAGGATACTTCTCAGTATGGTATCGAATTCCGCGTCGTATGTGAAGTCCGTGTCTCCTCTACACTTCAGGCGCGTGGCTGCCGCATCCAACGAGAGCAGCATCTGGCCATCATGATCCCGATTGTTAAAGTCGATGCTTACGTTGAATTTGAAGCAATCCGGACCCGCTAGTGGTCCTCCATCCGGCTTAAAGTTCACAGTTTTTATCTCAAAGCTTAATGTAGCGCTTACTAGCGATGCAAAGTTAATTTCTATGCCGAGCTGTTCCAGATATGGCTCGACTTTTGTGTTGGTAACATTGGGAGGCAATTTAATGCACAGCACATCGATTTCTGGATTGAAGATATACGACTCATTGAAACCAAAGATGGTGCCTTCACGGTAGTTTTGTAGGCATAGCACGAGAGGCGCCATAGAATTATCTATTGTTGGATAATCGTATGCGCCTATAGATCTGTTTACACGGGAATAGCCATCGACGGCATAATCGATAGTCTGAAAGAATGCATCCTTCTCGTACAGGGCAAAGGGACCCACAGCGGGCGGATAGCTCTCCACCTCGCGCGATGAGTCCCACCCCTTCAGAAACAAATGCGAGAAGGCGATGCGATTGTCCCATGTATAATTAATATGCTTATAGCGGGCATGAGCAAAAAGGCACAGCTGTATCGTCACGAGAATAATCTTCACAATCTGGGGACATAGATATATACAAACATATAAATATTCTGATACATGCTGTTGGCGAATATGCATTTACGATATCTTTGCCTACACGCTAGCAGTTATAAATAATTTTCATGCCATGCGTCATTATGTGACTTTTTCTTTTAGTTTTGCCAACCCGTTTTTGCCGCTCCCTATTCAGAACGTACCCAAAATTGCGCCAATTAATCATACATAGTAACTAAAGTACATATTGAAATCCACTTAAGCAGATATTAATCATAACAATAAGTATTTTATAGTACTGATGGGTTTTTTTGTACACTTTGCTTATTTATTTACGGGTATATGCAGTTTTAGTCAAAACATCATTCAATTATACTTGTATATGTACTGTATTTGAAATATTAGCTAATATTAGTAGTTTTATTTAATGAAAAAGTAAATATTTCCATACACAAATAAAATGGCAGTTATCGAATCAGACAGAAAACGATGCTAAATTAAATTCTAAAGCGAATAAACCGTTACAGATCTGTCTATATAGAATATTTGAAATTTGTATTAACTAATTTTTATTATATGTACATATATGCTGTAAATCTTTACAGTTGTTTAAGTTGTATGAGAAAACTTCATATGTGTACAGGATATTGAAGAGTATATGAAATCGGGGCAGCAGAAATCAGCACCTAAAATATGTTGATTATTTTGATATTACGTACTTTAAATAGACACGCACAACTGATAAGATAAACACGTAGTAGTCGTAAACTAAGCCAAAGTTTAGAACAGGTTGTAAGTGCCGAAGAAAAAGCACTCTAGGCATGACGCCACACCATGTCTAAACTGCGCCTTTGCATTGTGCCTGAATGGCTGAACAAACATTGCATTCATTTTAATTACAAAGGGAATTTAGCCAGCGGCACTGACAAAAACTGAACAAATACTAGTATTGTGCAAGCAGATCCCACACAAAAACTTCTACCGCTTGTGATGAACGTCACAATTGGCTGTAACTGATACAAAAATTTGGCACGAAAACGTCAAGCCGCCCCCTGAGTGTGAATTTAAGTCACACGACAAGCACTAATTGAGCGACACAGATGCGAGAATAATGATTAACAGCAAAGTTATGAGCTTGTTCGCAATGTAAGGAAGCTTTTAAGTATGTATGTATGTAGCATTCACTGACCTGAACGACAAACTTGTATGGAAACTTGCGCTTCGCCTGCCATTTCTCGATAGGATTCATGAAGAAAAACTGTAGCTTGCGTCTCATCCGCTCCTCGCTGTATAACAATGCGGGGGTTGCACCGCTCTCCAATAGCTGGGCAGCATCAGAGGTTGATGTCTCCGCCACAGCTACCGCCACTGGCGTTGATGACTGCAGCTGTGCCTGGCGACGCAGCAACTTGGGATCTTCATAGTCCTCGTCGCTTTCGCAGCGGGAATTCTCATCACTGCTGGGGGGAGTATGAGGATGATGCTGGGCAGCTTCATAGCTATCCGTACGGCGTTTGACAGCTGGAGCTGCGGCTTGTGCGGCTCCAGCGCCGTAGTTTTTCATTTCAATTAACTGCACTGGCTGCGTCGCGAAGGTCGCGGATGCGTTGCCTTTGTGTTTCGATTTTCTTTTGCGTTTGACTTTATTTTGTCAACATGCAAAAGAAATTCCAGAAACACGGCGAACGAGGCAAGGGGAGAAGTTAATAATACTTTCTGTTGGTTTACAACCTGTAGACGCGAATTGATTTTGAATACTGCCGAAAAAATAAAAAAATTCGACACAAATTACTTTGTTTTCACAATGATAAGATACTAGTGATGGTACTTGCATCGATAACGTGCATCACTAAGTACGAGGTCGGATTGTAAAGTAATTGTAGAAAACTTACATGTATACTGTTGTTTTCAAACAAGAGATGTACAAAGAACAAGCCCATTTATTTGTTCCAGTGGAATTGTATTGCTAAGTACAATCAAAACAAACTTCCACTAACCATACAACATGTTATTAGTGACATTGCGTACTAATACTTACGATGCCCCGATGCCTAAAACGATACTTTCAACTCGCAGCGTTACCAGCCCGTTGGGGAAGCGACGGGTCCATTTGAAATAGAGTTCAAAAATTATTATTGTGTTCTTGTTTTATATTCATCAATATATATGGCAAATTTAACAATTTTTTTTTTCAAATTTACACACATGCACACTCCAATTTCTTCCACATCTAAGTCATAACACTAGTAAAATTTATTTTAACTTAAGCCTACGTACATCACACGTACTTAATTACTAGCAAAACACAAGATTTCCTTCATTAAACTCTTTGCAATATAAATAACTAATTTTAAGCATAATTTGTTTGCAATAGCGCGCAATTGTTCCATTCTATGTAGATTTATCTCAAAAAGACAATTTTTCGCTATATGTTTTCCAATGTGTTTTATAATAATGGGCATTGTAAATACATAGATACATAAATATACACAAATATACATATAGAGCTACTACTTTTACAGAACGTACATTAATATGTTTGTATTCACTTCTTGCATACGCATTTTGTTTATACATTTATATATATAGGCATGTGTATTTTAAAACAATAACTAGTCTGAAGACCTTGTGACTAGATGATTTTTCGGCTACTCTAATATGCATGTAGGGTATACATTTACAAATATATAATATATGGAGAGTTCATATATGGGTACACATACATAAATCGGGTTGTTTATATATATAACTACATACAACAAAGAAGCCAAAAAGTTTATGTATATTTGACGTTCATTCCCGCTCGCACTTTTCCTGAGTAACATTCTCCAACCTGCTCCATCAGCGCTATTCTCGTTCTAGCTACACAATACTCTCTCGATCCCTCGGTGTGGCCGTCATATCTGTAAACGCGCTGCGCACACCCTGCACACTACTCGGCGATATGCTGACACGCCTTAGGGACGCGTCGCTATTTCTCAGGCCATTGCCTTTGAAGAAATTCGCCACCCAGTTTCCAAACTTTCCACCTCGCCGGTGCGTTGAGGCTGAAGCAAAATCTCCCCCTGCTACCTGTATGTCATGACCCGTCTGCGACTGACGCCCATCAACGTCGGGCGCATAACTGACACTATTGCCATGGCCTCCTACGCCCGGCTCCATGTGCTCTAGCGACCGCCAACGCTTCGAATGCGATTGCAGCTCTTCAGGTGGGGTTGTTAATGAGGCCTGGCGTTGGAGCAGCGGCGAATGCAGATCATCCTCAATCGTCATACCGCCGTTGCAATTGTTATTCAGATGTTTGTGTGCCGGCAACAGCATACCTGTTGCTCCTCCTCCAGCACTCGCACTCGTGCGCCGTCGATTGGTGGCCACAATAGTAGGCGCATTAGAAAAGCTGCCCGAATACCGCAGCGTGGGCAACTGTCCATTGTCACGACGCAACAGCAGGCCCACATCGTCATCATAGCTATCATTAGCGTCCACTGGATTGATAGCCATATCAATGTGAACATCCTCATCCTGCTGTTCTCCAGTGCCTGCCTCACCATTGGGATTGCCACTGATCAGCGAAACGCCTGTGTCTAGCGAACGCGAGTTGTTCTTCGATAGCTTGGAAGGCGGCAATTTAGGCCGTTCATGTCGCTTGCGCAGCTGCTGCATGGGCATGGGATCCATGGAACGTGTCTCGCGCAGAAACAATTCTGCGATACGACGGTCGTGCTGCTGATCGTTCCCATCCACTCTGGCGCCGCCAATCTCATGCGTGGACGCAGATGCTGACACGGACAAGTGTGCAGCATTAATGATGCGATGCGGCCGCACCATGGCTAGTGGCTTGTGCAGCGCATTTGGCTGGCGCACCAGCCCGACACCAACATCCCCACCGCCGTTTAGGTCCAGCTCGATGCCCCCGCTATCAACGACGACGTCGTTTATATCACAGTTCGTTTCGTTTGTTTCGGAATGATTTAGCGTGCTGCGAGATGCGTGCGTTGACTCGAGCAACGCGTCCCCGACGCCAAGTATGCCGCCAAAGTGGCTCATACGCTCGGCAATGCTGCTGCCGCCAATGCCGGACAGACCGCCAATTCCGTTCAGTGAGGGCCGCTCCACATGCCGCTTGGCTGTCATTCGCGGCGACTCGCGCCCCATCTGATATCCAGAGCCTTGTAGGCTGTAGGTGGATTCAACATCGGCAGGTCGCGGCACACTCGAGTGACGCCTTGAGCTCGTGCCGCAATAGTGCATGGCCAGTATGCTCGGCTGCCGCGAATCCGGATTTAATTTGGGGCTCTTGCGAGGACGACTGAACAACGGTGGAGGCATATCCATCATGTCCACGGGTTTCTTCTGAATGGCCTTTTCGTTGGCGTCCGTCAACCACCAGGTCACCACCTCACCCTTTCCTTTCATACTGACGAGGCCACGCTTTTCTGTAACATATCCGCCCAGTTTGTCCAACGCCAGTTTACATTTGTTGGATATGTGTATCTTTAACGCTTCGCCGTTGCTCTCCATCCGGGAAGCTGTGTTCACCGTATCGCCGAAGAGACAATACCGCGGCATGGTCAGACCCACGACGCCAGCAACCACAGGCCCCGTGTGCATTCCAATCCTAAGCTTAAGCGTCTCATTAGGTCGGTGGGCAATGCGATGCTGCTTGACCGCATGCAGCAGGTCCAGGGCCATGGATGCAATCTCACCCGCATGGCGATCACCGTTCTTGATGGGCAGGCCAGAGACCTGTAAGTACGGTTAATAATTAGTTACGAGTACCGTCCATTATGAAACTACCCATTAATTAGGTTTATACTCACCACCATGTATGCATCGCCTATGGTTTCCACCTTGTAGACATCGTAGCCACGTATGATGCGATCAAACACAGTGTAGAGATCATTCAAAAAGTTAACCACCTGAAGCGGCGTGCTTTCAGCAGACATGGCCGTAAAACCCACAATATCGCTGAAGTAAATGGTGACCTGCATTGGCAGAAACAAATATGAAGAATAATAATATACCTGTAGATGCAATAGTACTTACCAAATCATAGGACACCGGTTCGACACCCTGACCCATGGTCAGTTTCTCTGCCACTGGTTGCGGCAGCATGCGATGCAGCAGATCCTCTGTCTTGAGTTTTTCCTCACACAGCAGACGCGTGCGCTCTGTGACAATATCCTCGAGGTTATTGGCATACTTTTCCATCATTTCCATCATTTGATCCATAATGTTTTTAGTCTTGCCTCCACGCATTTTCTTAAGACGAGTGCTGAGCAGATAAACAAAAATAACAAAATCAGCTGCCTAATTCAAACACACAATCATAAATAGAAACGAACCGTATGGTACTGAAGTCTGGACGCTCTTCGGGCTCCTCAGCCCAGCAGTCCTTTATGCAGGCCAACACATAGTCTGGACATGATTCGGCCTCTATGATGGACTCCACTTCCGGTCGAAATGGCTCCTGCCCCTTCAACGGCAGTTTCTTTACTAAGTCCACAATTTGCTTTGGTTCAAAATTGTTTTGTCCAAATGGACCCTTACGACTAAATATCTCATACATGATGATGGCAAAGGCGTAGACATCGCCCTTCTGGCTGCCGTAGGTGTGATGATTGCGAAGCAATTCCGGCGCTCGCCATAATTGATCTGTGAATGAATATAAATTAAGTTAAGGGAATTTTTTAATTGGACGACCAAAAATGTATGAAGATATAATTCACGAAAACATGAAACCGCAAGCATTCACAAAGTCGCTAAATTGTTCACGAAAGTGTATTGAAACATAATTGTCCGTTGATTTGAGAAAAATAGCCAGATAAAGCCTCTTATATCGCATTACGTTATTATTAAACCGCGTGTAACATTAAGGACATGCAGTTCTAACTCTTGTACACCTTCCACCTCCACTTCTCCCCATTTCAGTACTTCAAGTGAAATATAATTTTGAGCATCCATCGAAAAACAATACTATACTGAAAGAAAGATGTTGGCACTTAAAATAATATATAGTACACCGATTTGAAAGAATCTGAAACTGAACCATCAGAATATGAGGTTCCTTTTTTATGAAACTTATAAATACAATATTTGGCTAAGATATGTTCATAAACAACCATTTATTCTAGTAGTAATATGGAAGCTCCTATGGAAGCTACTATATATGAAATAATTAGGATATGTATGGATAAGATAAGTCTATATTCCAAAAGCGGTGTCCCTAGTTAAAATTGTTAAAACGGTTTCAACATTCATACGGACGGACAGGCGAACGGTCTATATTAACTAGTCTCGTAACGCTGTTCATAAATGCTTTACAAACATTTGACATTTACGCTTATTAATATACCCTTAACTCCACTAACAATTTCATGAGCTTGTGAATCGTTTCGTACATGTTCGTGATTGCTTTTTTTTTTTGTCATCACTCACGTCTATAATGTTGATGCTCGCCAATGGACTCGCTTTCGGCGCACTGCCGTAGCTCGTGCAGACCAAAGTCAGTGACTTGGAGCATCCAACGTGAGGTGACCACACAATTCGAGGATTTGAGATTGCCATGGTAGATCAGTTGTGAATTGTGTATGTAGATCATGCCCTGTGGGTGAGTAAACAGACCAATAGGTTAAAAACAATCATAAATAATAAACGCATTATCGCTGCTCACCTTAATGAGGTCGTGTATGAGCGAGGCAATGAACAGATCATCCAATTTGATGTCCTCATTCTCAATGATGTCATACAGGCTGCCCTTGGCGCAATAATCTGTGACTAGCAATATGCGGGTGGGCTCCACACAGGCGCCAATAAAACTATTGATATTATCGTGACGGAGCTCGCGCAGCAGACGCATCTCCTTCATAATCTCGCGGGATATGTCACGTTTGCGTGGAAATTTTAGCTCCTTGATCCGCACCACTGCGCCCCGCAGACGCGCAGTGGAGGTGACGAATTGATTGGACCAGCGTGAACCAAAAGATTGGGCGCTCATCAAGCTGACCTGTGCAAAAAATTGATAACTGTTAAGAGAAGTTGATAGCAGCTTTCGGCATCTAATACTACATACCTTGCTCGGTGAAGAGACAATCTCATTGCCTGAATACCCCTTAATTTCGCCCACTTCAATCTTCCACAATAAGCCCTCTATTTCTAGTTCTATTTTCCACTTTCTATAGATGCTCATCGTCACAACTCCGGAGCAAAAAAGCAGCACGCCCAGCACTACGGCTGCTACCGTTGAGGTATAATGCGTATCATCCTTTTGGCACAACTCGTTGGCAAAACCGCACATGGGCTCATCGGTGGGCTTGTCCCCGCCTGACGGCCAATCTATGGAGCCATTAATCAATTTATATTCCTGAAGGAGATAATAACAAAATAAAGCATTTTGATAAGTCAATCTGGAAACTTAACGAATGCGTCAAACGAAAGTAAAATAAACTAAAAAAGAGAAGACGACTCACTCACTGGAAGTTCTTCGCCTTGATGGAAATAAGCCACAGGCACCATATGAAAGTGACATTGAATATCATCCGTAATGTTCCAGGTGTACGGTTTGTAGGCTAGCACCGAGAAGTTGCCCTCCGAATCGCCATACTTATCAATTTTTATAGTGGAACCCGTAACGCCTGCAATAATATAATGTAGAAATGTTTTATAAAGGTATAGGTATTTTTGTACTTTAGTTTTCGGCTTGCACTCTATAAAACTCTAATGATATCTTTAGTCAAAGTGATAAGTGTACCTAGCTAGGTATTACATATGTTATTTCCCTGATACTTACTCATATAAGTACGATTTTTGATGATGGTGTCAATAACGCGCGAGCCATTGCTGGCCACATCAAATATGACCTCATCTGTTAGCGGACGCTCCTCCATTCGCAACATCTTGTCCAAGGCCCAGGCATACAACTTTACAGAATCGTACAGATAAGCAGCATAGATCGACACAAACTGGAATATATTGCAAAAGCAAAGACATCTAAATACAAATCTTCCTTGCCCCAAAATTAAGTCAGAGGCTAACCTTGCTGAATTTGCTATCCGAGAATAGCTGTGGCACCGTAAAATTGAACGGCGGCATTGAACTGTACATACGGACTTTCTCCGTAAAATTTTGATAGTCCTTGGTAGGAGGCGTTGAGGCCACCACAAGTAAACTGCGCGCCAATTGATGGAAATTATTCGTGGTATGACAGTTCTTCATGCGATTTATTTGATCCACTTTGCGCAAATACTTATGAGCGTCCCTAAAAAAGCTCGGAATTAAACACGGCTTTACAAAGATGCCATTTTCCATACGTACCGTTCCGAGTATACCATCATATCCACAAAGATGACCATGTATTCGCCACGCGCAAATAAGCCAGCCGTTTCCATGGAGCTCATGAAGTCCACCAGACTGTTGGATGAGCCTAGAAACACATAGATGCGGGTTCGATTCATGGTGTTTTGCACCACCTGTAAACAAGAAAATGGTTCGTAACAAAGCCAAGATTGGAGTTTAAATATATTCGACGTGTGAACCGGAAATTCGTTTTTGCTTAGGTTTTCACCTCACCTCAAAAGTAAGTCGTAAGTATAAGCAATCATTTTAAAAAACTATCTAATTAGCGAGTAATTCGCGTTCAAACAGCCCAAACTTTTATTACAATCGAGAGCAATACAAATACAAATTTATGTTAAGAGATATTGGTTTTGTAATGCAATTAAATCTCTTTGGGATTTACTTTGCAATTTTCTCATGGAATAGATCTCCATAAAGTTAATTAGGTAATAAGTTCAACTACAACTTGATAGCGCCTGTTCATTATAAGTTGTTATTTACATACGATTCGGTAAATCGGAGCTAAATAATACCTATTTAGTTTTGTTGCGCTTTTTGGGAAATAGATTTTAAATCCCTTTTTTAAATTAAAAGTAAATGGACGGTCATTTTGAAAACTATGGGGGAGAAAATTCTAGCGCAGATTATTGAAGGCGATCTTCATGAAAGTTTTTGGGTTTAACTCTATATATTTGTTACTTTCCACAGAAATTCAGTTGAAATTCAGATAACTATACAGTTCGGTAAACCTAATATAAATAATACCTTTTTAGTTTTGTTGTCCGTTTTGAGAAATAGATTTTAAATGAACAACAACTATGGAAACTATGGGTAGAAAATTCTAGCGCAGATTATTGAAGATTTTCATGAAGGTTTTTGTGTTTAACTTTATACTTTCCATAGAAATTCAATTGAAATTCACAAAACTCTACAGTTCGGTAAATCTAATCTAAATAATATCTTTTTAGTTTTGCTGCTCGTTTTGAGAAATAGATTTTAAATGAACAACAACTATGGAAAATATGGGGAAGAAAATTCTAGCGCAGATTATTGAAGATCTTCTTGAAAGTTTTTGTGTTTAACTTTATACTTTCCATAGAAATTCACATAACTCTACAGTTCGGTAAATCTAATCTAAATAATACCTTTTTAGTTTTGCTGCTCGTTTTGAGAAATAGATTTTAAATGAACAACAACTATGGAAACTATGGGGAAGAAAATTCTAGCGCAGATTATTGAAGGAGATCTTCATTCTAATGAAAGTTTTTGTGTTTAATTTTATATATTTGTTACTTTCCTCAGAAATTCAATTCAAATTCAGACAAGTCTACAGCGTATTCAGTTATTTTCCACACCACTATATACTCACCTGATACCAGTAGCCGGAACGACAGCAATGCAACATTTGTTCACAGCACTTGGCACGATCATCAATGAAGGACTGCTTGTGATTGATGGTCATATTCTTTTTTGTTGCCTGGTCCTTCAGCAGATCGGCCACAGTCGCCCAAACCTCCTCGTACAATATGGAGAACTTGTTCCAGGCATAGTACCGCAGCAATGCAATTACGGACTTAACGACCTGCACACGACAGATAAATTAAATAAAGAAAATACTTGTATATTTATTCAAGTCATTTCGAGCACACAAGGAAAACCCGCCATAATCCAGGAAAACTTAAATACCCTTGTTCCGATTACAGATTACACAGACAAAGAGGACAGAGTTGTTGCAACTGGCGGGGCATACTCATATTTTGCACACCAGCGACTACTTGTTGCCAGTTGTCATAAAAATCCTTTATGGAAGGAGCCAACCACCTCACCTCTTACTCACTCACCTGCGTATCTGGGGGCTCGGTGCGTGCAAACGTCGGTATCAAGGATGCGCGATTCTCTGCACATTTCTGTTTGGGGTAAACAACGAAAAGGGACGTGAGGATAAAGAGCTTTCATTTTGTAAAATTCAGAAGCACGTGGCTATTATTGTTGTTGCATCGAGCTGTGAAATTGCTTGGCAACGTGTCGTTTATCATGTAGCGTGGATAGGTTATTGAAAACTTACATAGGAAATCATTGGAATGTTTCGACTCTGCGTGACAATTGCTTCCACATAGCAAGGACCCTCTGGACCAAATATGGTCGCAATGCCATCGCATATCATTTCAGTGATGGCCTTGGTGGCAACCACCGTGTCGCCCTTGGTGTCATTCCAGCGCAGCTTCAGCGTGACATTTGGCAACAAATGAGGATCAAAGTTGATCTGTAAATAGAAACAGTTCAAAGAATTCAATTCAATTAATTCCAAATGGTTGATTTACATAACATTAGTATTCGCCCTATAAAAAGTAGTACAGAGTTTGTGGAGAAGGAATGTCTACTATAATAATACAATAATAACTTTCGTTTAAGATTTGAACTACAAAATATATTTCATTTGATGTTTAAAAACGAATGCTTTTAAATTCTATAATGGGTCTTATAATGAGCCCAACAATGCATACGTTTTATGTATACATAGTTATGATTTTATTTATTTACTTAAGTACAATCAAGTTGTGTGATCTATTTATTGATCATACGGGTTAATTTAAAGCTCCGAAATTATTGTGTTTGTTATAAGCTTAGTATAGATTAGGAAACCAATCGCAAAATGGATGTTTTGATAAAAGATAGTTTTGATTTGGTTGTAAACTTTTTCTTTTTTCATCGGACAACATAAAAATAATATATTTCACCGTCTGTTTCCATTACAGTTATGTATATGATATATTGTTCCGATCCGTTTGAGATTCACGTGCGAGCACAGAAATACCGGAACTATTTTGGTTCGGAATTCCGGTCTGACTACCCGATCTTGATAGACACTTTTTATGCTATTTTTCTTTACAGATTATATTATTGTAGCCTCATTTGTTATTAATTAAATAAATCATAGTAAATAATAATTTGATTTTGAAATAAATGCTTACCTCTTCCAGGGCCATAGTCAGGGCACCGGAAATGGCCAAACCCTGGCGATCCTTGAGCTCGCCAGTGAGCGCCGTGAGATAGCCAACTGTGAGGACAGTTTGATTGCTACAGTCGCGTACTGCCACCGAGAGCAATAGTAATAAATTAAAGGGCCAACGCGTCATGGCCCCTTAGGCCGGGGCCGTTCAGCGCGACGCCTATGGGTGGTAACAGATTTTCACGCTGCAAATAGAAAGAAAAGTGTGTGGAGGAAAATGAAATAAATACGCACGATGCACGGAAAAGAGCAATTGAATGTGACAGCAGCAGTATATCCTGGCACAATTGCTGGTCGCTGCACTGTACTATATAGTATATGCATGTCTCTTACATAATAAAAATACATGTTTGATAAGGACAAACACGCAAACACACACACACACACACACACATACACACAAACATCAACATCAACATCCACAGCAATATCAACAACCACCCAACCACCAATTGGAGGAGTACTAGAAACTGTAACAATTCTAAACATGCATAAAGAAATGAAATGCTTGCTTCAATATTGCAGCTATAGTATATACCATCGCAGGGTTTGTCGACAATAAGTGAGCGAGTATGTGCACGTTGCCCAACTCTGCTATATGTCCTGTGTGTCCGGATACTTGCTGCAAATGTCAAGTGTCGCCCGTTGCCCGAAGCTCTTTCCCGGCAATGTCGCCCACTCTGCCTTTGAACTGGCACTCATTGCATAAAGTCTAATTAAATTCCCTGATGTTGTTGCATTCGCTTTCGTTAGCCTTGCCGCGCATCCTTGACTGTTGGAAGTCAATTTTAATGCGCTTTGCAGCGATCACATTTCGAGGAACTGGTCGTCTGGCAGGAGGCTTGTTTCAACAGATTGCATTAATACAGTGCCGACAATTGTTTGCACACACTAAAGCTAAATCCAAGTAACTGCCAGACAAAGCCACAAATATTTACACTCCCACATTATCATACGTGTGCACATATGTGCGTATACTTATATACATGTATGTAACTATGGTTGAGGTAGGTAAGCTTGCATATTAATTATGCATTTGTTGCTGTTTTGATTATGCAATTACGTTTGTGGCATTATCCCCAGGCATGTGTTTGTGTTGCCATTGGCTCCTTCCTTTTTTCAATTGCTTTATGTTTAAACAATTTACAAAGGCTATGAGCGCATTGGGATTATGGAGAACGATATAAGCTTTATTAATTAGATAGCTAGAAAGAAAAAGAAAGGAATGCTAAAGTCGAGCGGGCTCAACTCTTAAATACCCAGTACCATACCTCAAAAAAAAAAAAAAAAAAAAAAAAAAAAAAAAATTTAATTAAATATAAAATATTTAACACATGTATACAGACATAAGTGTTTATGTACAATTTCAATAGAATAGATTTACATCAGAATCGTGTCTATGTGTGCTTGTATGCAGTAAAAAGTAAAAAAGCTAAAGTCGGGTGTCCCGACTTTGAAATACTCTGTACATATTTTTACAATAATTATAGCAAAAAAAAAAATAAGTAAATTAAAAAAAATTTGATCGATTTTACCTTTCTCGGTATTCGAACTTAAGTAAAGGGTATATAATTGCACATATACAAAGCAATTGCGTCTATGTGAGTGTAGCAGCAAATATATTTATGGCTATAACTTCTTGTTAAATCGGTCTATCATAGTGAAACTTGGCATACGGACACGTAATAACTAACTGGGGGTATTTGCGAAATTCCAAGAATTACGGGAGTTAGAGAAAATCGCATTTGCGGGGGAGAGGGGGAAGGGAGGGAAATTCCAAAATATACATTTTCTGCGTATACACAAGGCATCTTGGACTAAAATTTGATGTTCCTAGGTCTTATAGCCTCCGAGATATAGGCGATTATACGAATGAAAAATCGGGAAAACCCCCATAGGGGGGAAGTGGGGGGGAAAATCAAAAAAATAAAACAAACTCGTATAGCGTACATACATAAGGCATCTTTGTGCAAAATTTGGTGTCTCTAGCTCTTATAGTCTCTGAGATCTAGGTGATCATACGGACGGACGGACGGACAGACGGACAGTCGGACAGACGGACAGACAGACAGACAGGGCTAGAACGACTCGTCTTGTCACGCTGATCAATAATATATATACTTTGTGGGGTCTGCCACGCCTCCTTCTGCCTGTTACATTTTTCAGCTCGCGCAAACCTAATATACTCTTGTACATTTCATGTACAGAGTATAAAAAGTCAAAGCAGCAACCCCTGCCGGCAGAGCTTGGGCAGAGCTTATGTTTATGGCTATAACTTTCTTCATAATTAACCTACCATGATGAAACTTGGCACACAGACACATAATATATGGATGTATTTGCCAAATTTGAGTACAAAATTCTAAGAAATACGGAAGTGACGGGAATTATGGGAAAACACGAATTGCGGGGGAGCGGGGGGTGCATCAGAAAAAAAAAACACAAGCTCGTGTTTTCTCGGACTTAGGAGAATCTGGATACCGAGTTTGGTTATTCTTGCTCTTGTACTTCCTAAGATCCTTGCGTTCATACAGACGGACGGACAGACGGACAGACGGACATGGCTATATTGACTCGCCTTGTCATCCTGATAAAGAATATATATACTTTGTGGGGTCTGCCACGCTTGCTTCTGCCTGTTCCCACAAAACTAGTATAGCCTTTTACGCTTTGGGTATAGGCTATAAAAATTGAACCAAAACACTTTGCTATGGCGCTTCCCTGACTGTCAATCTCATATTAATCGGACAAATTTGAAAATATTTTTAAAATGTATAAAAAGTTTGGTAAAAATGTTAAAAGGAACAAGAAGTAGTTTATTTAAACGGTCATACACAATAACATTTCAAGTGAAATTTAGTTTAGGTTTATTTAATATGAACCGATTTATACCCTGTAGCCAAATATAACACACAGAAGGAAGCTTCTTCGAGTCAATTTACACGTAGTCCGCCCGTCCATTCATATGAGCACCTAGATATCAGAGACTATATGAGCCACAGATGCCTTATATGTGTACGCAGTACAAGTGTATTTCAACAGTGAATTAAAATTGTATTTGTAATTTAAACTAATAATAGAGTTTCCAAATCATAGACCAATATACCTTTACTCGTATCGCCACGCTGAAACACAAATTATTTGTGAGAAATTGGAATATTTGGGTTGTTGGCACATAGCGATTCATTTTAGGAATAAATAAACATTTGTGCAGCATTTTGTCAGTTGGCTTAAATTTTAAAATATGCGACTTATATACATACATATGTAGCTGGATTTCACGGGCATCAACAAAATCAAATGTATGTATGTATGTGCGCGCCAATGTGTGACCGCAAACAGAATCGAGGCGTACTTGTATGTTGTTTGATTATTGTACAAAAATATGGAGGAGAGGAAGAGCGGTAATCAATGCCGCTGCTCATCAGTGTGTCAATCAATCGCTTTTCACATTTTCATCGTCCACTCTTACCGGATGTTTATCATCGCCTGCCACATCCACCCACTACTCGAGGCCTACTTGAGATGTTATGTATAGATTTATCAGTCTCTCATCATGTTCGTTACTTGTCAATTGTTGGTCTAGAAAATTTTGTGTTTTTTTTTTCGGTCGAATTTCCTTATTCTTTCCTCTGCCCACTAAATTTTCGTTAGCCCTCCTCCAGGCCCAAAATTCAATGTTCGGTTAAAAAATTGGCTCGCTTGTAAAGTGTACTGGATAAGTGCCTTCCCGTTGAAGACGACCCATAGAAACTGTAAATTATGTGACAGCACGACGCCAGCGCACGGTATCGGCCCCGCGTACACAGCCTCCACCACCCCCACTAGCACCATCAGGACCACACCTCATTCAGAGCCAGGAGCAGAGAGCGGACGCGGATCCGTGCCGCCAAACAACTCGCAGTGGAACAAGGGGAGACGCACGGTAAAGCTTTGTCACGGCAAGGCCATGGCGATCCATGAGCAGATCGACAACTTGAACATTTGGTGGTTCCCGCGCGATTTCTGCCAGTCGCGCTTCGGCGAGTTCCAGCAAAGCGGGACCAATTCATGTACACTCATCTCGCTCATACTGGCCGACAAGGTGGCCAAGGCCGAGCGGTTTTATCAGCGCGTTGCCGAACTGCCTCCGCGCGGCTGGGAGCTCTTTGGGAATGCCATGAACGATGGCAACAATGTGTATCATAATGTCATCACAACCAATACGCCGCAGGCGCGAAACCTCAATCTAAACATACCGGATGCAATTGCTGCCATACGTTCGCAACAAAAGATGAACTTCCGGCTGGAGGAGTGGTTCTACACACACATGGAGGCCGATCCCTCGAATCCAATGTATAACAGGAATGTGGCGCTGCAGCTGTCGCGCATCTTTCAGATAACGCTGCAGGTGTTCCAGCAGGCGGGCGGGCGCGACATGCCCCAGCATCTATTTTCGGCCATTATTGCCGACAGTCGCACGGTGATGGTCACTTTCGATTTTCGTGCCTCGATTGTCGCACTCTTCGATTCCCATCAGCATGGAAGAGATGCAGGGGCCGTCTTCGCCCAGTGCACCATCCAGAACATGGACGATCTATTATTCTGGTTCATCAGCATGCTGCACAATGTTTACTCTAGTCGCCCGTCATTATTCGAGATCTCGTTCCTCAGCTCACAGCCGGGTGTGGCCAAGCGTATACCGCCGGCGATCAAAAAGGTAGCGGGCGAGATGAAGAAGCCGACGAAAACAATGGCAAGGCCTTAGAAAACAACAAAAAGAAAACGAAAACCGATCCACTAATACAACGAGATGGAAATGTTTTCAAGAAAGTTTCGAATGGAATTTTTGCGGATTTAGAAAAACTTAATAATGATGATGATAATCATAATGGCGCTACAAAATTCTTTGCAAAAATTAACACAAAATTGAGCTCAGTTGCTCGCGTTTCCGACAACTGAGAAGTTTAAACAAATTCCTGTCAAGTGCAAATTGATAAAATCAGAAATTCAAAATTAACGAGACCCACAATAAAAGTAAACGCTAAAACACCAACAATTTTTTCCACTGATTTGTTAGCTGTTTATTGATGTAGAATGTAGATAGTCGGTATCAAGATGTATTAATTTGAGTGATTAGAGTGAAAAGGGGTTAATAAGAGACAAATAGAATATAAATGAATGAAAAAACTAGTTACAGAGATCGTTGATGCTTCCAGCGAAAACGAACAAAGTTCGCCAAAAGACTGAAAATAAATAATTAAGATAAGCCATGCTCTTTTGAGCTAAAAACAACACAATATTGATTAAGGAGAATAACAACCCACTGTTTGGGTTTGAGGGGCAGCATCCGGGAGAAAAGCAATTATATATCATTGATGTAACAATGATGGTGACGGAAAATTAAATGAAATGAAAGCACATTTTGAACTAAAACGATTAAACGCATTTAAAATGGATAGCGTTACTATTGTGTACAAATAGATCTTTATTTATTCAATATCTATTTTATCCCCTTGCAATGCAATGCACAAATGCCAGCGTTGCTTTTTCCAATCCTCGAAGCAGTCCATAAAATCATTTTATGGAATGACCTTCAGTACCTTTTTCGATTTGGCTTAAATGTCCTCAATTTTGTAAAACTGGTGTTTCCAAAGTGAATTTATCAGGTGAATACGATATGCGTCTTGTTTTTAGCGAAATGCTGTAGTGCTGTGAATTGGAACCAAATGAAATTTGACTTTTAAGAGGCACAACAATCACCCAAATATTGTTGACCCATCCAATAGAAAAGCCAAAAGTCTCAGCAATGTCTCTAGCTGTCAATTGAAAATTTTGGATGCTTTAATTTGCTTAATTCATTGTTCTTCAGTTGATAATTTTGGTCGTCTTGGATGTGAATTTGACAGACTTCATTGTTCAATAATGTCGGACATTATAAAAGTAGAAAAGTTCGTCTTTAGATGTTCACAAAACACAAGTAAACAATGAAGAAAATGTACAGTAATAGTGCTGAATAAAAGGATTGGTTCCTATCGATTTCCTGGTCTTATTCGTACACATATGTACATAATCAGTTTCGAAGTACATTTCAAAGCAGTGGATGGTTCAAAAAGCTGGGACCATGTTAGTCTGAATAGGAAAACTAGAGAATTTTTAACTTATAACATAAAAGCTTTAACATTTTACTAGCATCCGCTATAAGCTGAATTATCTTTAAATGATTATTTGTTCCTTTCCAATTTACAACATGTATGTACATACATACTTGTATGTACTTAATTATATGTATAAGGGGTGGTACTTGTAGATATTTATTGTGCTTACCCCTTCTATAATAGCGACATTTTTTTTTAAATATATACTTGTATGTAAATATATATTTTTTTAAATATTATAAGCTGAATTATCTTTAAATGATTATTTGTTCCTTTCCAATTTACAACATGTAAATACATACATATATACATATGTACTTAATTATATGTATAAGGGGTGGTACTCGTAGATATTTATTGTGCTTACCCCTTCTATAATAGCTACATTTTTTTAAAATTTTTTTATTCCCATCTAATTGGCTTTAAACTTTTTCCGTTACATAACTGCGAATTATTATTTTTGTTCGTGGCATTGTTTATTTATTATATTTTGTCGTATTTAATTTCGCTGCGCATCTGTGCGAGGGTCGTCATATTTTTTAGAAGCCAATGCAGACGCGGTTTTATCCTAACTACCCACACAGAACACATGGATTTGCACATATGTTTATCCATTTATACGAAAATATTTATGTACATATTTAAGGGCGTGTGTGTGCGTGTATTTTCACGATTTATAATCAAAATGAGTTAAATCAACACATAACGTAACCTATTAAGAACTTAGTACGTGACAACAATTTAAATATTTATAAAGTAAACAGAGAACATGCAAAGGAGAGAGCGAGAGAGCGAGAGAGAGAGAGAGAAAGACAGATGGGGAGAGAGGAACGAGGAGGCGACAAAGAGATAGCATATCTAAAAATAGATGAGATTTCAAAGAAAATTATGAGAAAAACAAAAATCAACTAAAACTAAAAGTAAACTAAACGGAATAGCATAAGCAAATGGCTGAAAATACGTGATAAAACGTTTAACAAAATGTCCAAGAATAACAGAAAATAAATAGGCGGAAAAAAGAGAGAGCGAGAGAGAACAAAGTGAGCAATAAATGCCGTTGCATTTGTTGTTTAATTAAAACCAAACGTAAGAGCAACGACAACTGCAGTCCAAGAATTTTGTTGTTGTGTAACGCCATACAGTTAATAATCACATTGCGTAGCCGCAACGTCTGACATACACACACATACACCCACACGCCCTCTCAACCTCTCTCCCACTCTCTTTCTCTCTCTCTCTCTCTCTCTCTCTCTGTATTCCTCTCATTATTTGTCGCTCAGCAACAAGTTGCAGTCGCGATGGGACCCCCCGCCTGAACTCAAAACGTGCCTACGTTGTGCAGTGCATTAAAGTTAAAGTTGTTTGTTGTGGTTGCTGTAGCTGTGCTGCAGCTATGACTAGTCTAAAAATAAAACTTGTGCACTAAAAATAGACTCGTCACAACAGTACAATAACAACAACAACAACAACAACTAGAAAACGACACGTTCAACGGCCAAACTAACTCGACATTATATGCACAAATGTTTATACAAATAAACATGCAGACGACAGGCGGCGCAAATGGATGGCTAAGCCAAGTCGTTTACGCATACACACCAATCTATGTATGTATGTATTTATGCATATATGTATGTATGTATGTATGTATGTATTTATGTGCCCAGATATTATTGGATACGTGCGTGAGCGTCAACATCGTCTAACTGCCGTGTGTATGTCAAAATGTAGATATGTTTGTATGTATAGTATAGCACATACAAATATACAGACGAACTTCTCTTTGACGAATGTGTTCGATTGTTTAGCAGCTATAATTTTATGAGAAGGCAAAATAATAGTCAGTAGTCTAGTAGTTTGATCGACTAAACGATAGAAACTCTAAAAAAAAGTGGGTACCAAAATAAAAATGGTCTTGAGTAATTGATAGTGGGTAGAAAAAGTGCAAGCTGATAAAAAATTGTATGTATTTAAATCGTATCATGATTTATATTCTTATATATTATACGATTGCTTTAATAAAATACAATTTAATGCCGGGGATATTGGTTTCAGAATACATGAGGCGTCTTTGAACCGAAGTAAATGTTTTAGCAACGCCTCTACTGAAACGGCGCATTAAAGAAGAAGGTTTAATTAGAAGCAGGAGAGGACCACCCGATTGACTTTAGATAGATTTATATAGATTATAAATGTAAATTATAAATAAATTATAAATAAGACTAAACTCCTAGTTTAAGTTGTATTAAGTTAATAGTTTAATTTAAGTTATTAAAATAACAGTATAATAATAAAGAGAAAAATAATTTTGTACTAAGATCTTCAATAAAGATGAGAAAGAATTATTGGAACTCATTTCAGGACTTAAATCTAATTAAACCAGAGTTTACAATTGGAGACAAGTATTGGGATTTTTATGTGTTCAAAACACAATTCAAAATATTATCTAATATTACTGGCTCGATAGAATAAATAAATATTTCTGGTCGCATGAGAGTTCATCCATAGAAGTACAGCTGTAACGCGATATCCCCATATTCATGTCCATCTGCCTAGCTCGTTTGTGTCTCTGATTGGATTGCAAATCCCTTCCTCATTGACCATATTTGTTTTTCGCCACCATCGCTGGTCACTCGATTTTCATAGGAATGATAGATGTATGAGCATAAATGCTTTCACTCATGACCTCGTGCTATCAATCATTAAAATGGAACACGCCTACACAAAGACGCACAACAGCCATAGCTGTCAACAAAATTCCAAAAACCCTTTCGAGTTTTGTGGAAATGTGCTGAAATGGCTCAAAAAGCCCATTAGAAAGATTACGCCCAGGCGTGCGATTAGCTTCGTTTATTGAAAGTAGAAACCAAGCAACAAGCAGATGAACGATGACAAAGGCATGATGATGATGACAGTGCCTGCGGATTATTTGCAGACTGTCACAAGTAATTAGAGCGCTACGGACTTGGCTCAAATTGGGGACAGTTAATACTTTAAAACGTTGTCCTTAGTGTCAGAATTGATGGCGATTCTGTGCTATGTACACATATGTGTGTATATGAGGACATACATATATACAAATACACACACACGTATGCAAATAGATGTTGACTGTAGGGCACTACACAAAAGTGGAGGACAACAAAAAAGAAAAAGGCGACACAAGCACAGCACAGCAGAGTCAGACAAGTCGAGTTGATTTGAGTAAAGTTGATTTGATTGTTGCCACAAGTGTGTGCCACATGGCGCTTATGTGAATGCGGTGTTGAGTGCTGAGCATTTGGTTTGGTGCTGCGTGGCACTGTTCTAACACATTTAGCATATTGTTTCATCGCTCGACTGTGAACGGAAACATTCAAATCAAATTACATTGAAAATGAACGGAGCACTGTTGCAAATGCTAGCAAAAATGATTGGCTGCTTAGTCAAGCCAGACCAAAAAACTGAGCCCTAGCACTAACCCGCCCCCTAACCTACACCCATCCCCCAGCATTAAGCGCTATTGCCAACTCGAGGCAGATGTGAAGCGCACATTTTGCTGATTACAATATTGTCAACAGCTTGACACTGATACAATTGACAGCAACCAAACCACGCGAAAAAATTGCTTGGCATGGCGTTTAAACAAATGACCCACGAGGGAGATCATCTTAACGTTTATTAAATTCAATAACACTTCTAAGCGCAGTGGGACCGTATCAGCAAACGGCAAGTTTTAGTGATGTATTTTCAATAAATTCCAATAAGTTTATACATAATATTTAGCAAACAATTTAGACTAAATTCTTAGTTGTAGTTTTGTAAACTGCTATTAGACGTGACAAATTAAAAGCTTTAAAAAAATTTAAGACATTAGTGTTGTTGGAATGTGCATTTTAGCCATTAATTTATAGCGAAT